CATTTCAGCTTTTTATTGGCATTTTACCACAGATTACGTAATAGTTACTAAAATTTGTACCTAGTTTCCATTAATGTAAATAATGTATCATAAACTTTAGCCGTTAAACCCAATCGATCGAATCTTATTTTTATTGGAAGCTCTTTTAATATCGCTATAATTTAATTTGGTAATAATCCTAATACGAAATACCGGTTCTTTGAATGACATAAATATGTAATCAATACGGATATCTCTAAAACTACAATTTAAAACAATGCCTATTTTTTTCTATAATACATGAAGCTTTTTAGTATCAAACTACCCCGGTTTGTTTTTAAAAACGTTCATTTACAGCCTTTTTCGTATAAAATGGTGTTTAATAAAATCATTGTCCCTGACCAATGTCGGTCAATATGAACCAATGTTCATTATCTCATTTTCATCGATTGATATCTCATTTTCATCATTTGATTCGTAAATGGGAACACACGCGCATGAAAGGTCTAATGTACGCTGTCGACATGATTATCACGCTGTTTGCGCAGCTTGTACTTTAGGGTGAAGCGCAATTTGGTAAATGGAATGTTGTATATTACTCTCGTAGATAAGAGAGATTGCAATGATTAATATCAAGAACGTGGATATTCCGAGACTTGCCGGTGAAAACGTCTCGGCGGAGACGTGGCTTAATTAATAGTGGTCAGGGTTGTGATTCACAACCCTGGCCACAACTTGTGAAGGCGGGCGGGGCCCATTAGCTGGGCAAACACCGTGGCCACACGCCAGTCTGCAATTTACTTGCTCCTCGTTCACCTATGGTGGATTGGATATCTGTCGAAAATTATACAATTGCATACGAAACTTAAAATTTAAAACACAAGCGAGGTATTATTGCTCAGGAGTATATTAAAGTAGAAAATAATCAATAGTAATTAGTGAACAAATTCATTTCTTTGATATGCGTATTATATGATATATCCCACGAATCCTACATATATTATTATAGAGAAACATTTATCTATAAAATAACTCTTGACTGAATTTTATCTTGATATTTTATCGAGTACCCGTTTATTTACACCTAAGTGCCTCGTTTATTTTTCTTAAAACACTAACTTTAAACTTACCATCATGTTAAATTTCTATAACATTCAACGTAATATAAATATCAAACATTCAAACCTAAAATTATCTCTACACGGAAAACGCTATTATAGCACCAATATATTTAACGGCATCGTCACACTGACCAGAATAAACGATGCATATATGCATAAGATAAAATAAAAACTCTCGACTCATTTCATTCAATTTATATCATTAAAAACAAGAAAGTCTGGTCAGCAAGTATTGCGTAACCGAATTCATAAAGTTCACAAGTATTATGTAGAAACGTTGTACTTATTTGTATCTTTGCAACCACTAATTTCAAGTCATGTACTTGTTATTCAATTTTGTCATTCAATAAAAAACACTATCAATCTGTTTAATATTGAGCAAATATTTAAGTAATTGTATGTGATATTTAAGATATTTAACTAAATTATTCGGATCTTTTCCGAATGATTAAGCTCGATGGCGCGTCCGGTTTGCTATCTGGAACTCAATTTACTATCGCAATGGCCGGTCTTCGATTGGGTGAACAAAAATTTTATATGCTTCGGAACTTCGGAAGGCACGTTAAGCCTTTGGTCCCAGCGATTTCTGCAGTCGTTGACATCCCCAATCCTCATTGGGCCCGCGTGGTGTATCATGTTCCGTGTGCCAATCTCCTTAGTCCATCCATAAGAAAGGCCTGTGCCCCAGCAGTGGGGACCATTTAATTTATTAACATTATTAAAAATTAAATTTAAAAGGCTGATTTAAAAGGCTGACGATGACATTAGTCACAATTTAGTATTTCTCGGTAAAGTTTTAGTAAGCGATGAATCATTAAAAAAAATAAGTGTGACCCCGCAGAACCAATCACTATAATTTCAAATTCTTTATTAGATTTAACGGAACAGGAAAGGAATATTTCAGAAAGTGGCCATCTTTCATTGTTGTTTCTAGATAACGTCTCTTGTTGGCACTACGCATGGCTATTCGTATTTGGTATTTGTCATTTTCATAGCAGGTTATCCTTATCATACTCATTAGGACAGGACATGAAAAGAAGGGACTGTTGTCAAGTTTACAAAGAGCAAACACGAATAGCCTTGTGGAGTACCTGCATCAGGTGCCTCAGGCAGCATTAGCTAGTAATGCCAAATGGGGAGTCGTTGAGTAGTACTAATCTATATATCTATACATAATAAAATGGTAGGAAAGTCAAAATCGGACATTGAATATTTTTTTTAAAGAATACTTGGCGTGTGATCTACCATCGATACCGAAGCCAAAAATATAGTTTTTAGAATTTTTGTCTGTTTGTCTGTGTGTATATCTGGGATAAACTCAAAAGTACTGCATGGATTTACTTCAAATTTGGCACGAATATTATTAATAAGTCGGGTCAACATATAGGCTACATATTATCACGATATCACGTACGGGGAACGAGCAGTGAACCTTAATTTCTAACTAAATCCAGGCGTACGAAGTCGCGGGCGGCCGCTAGATTATATTAATAGGGCCTAAATTATTATCAGTCTCAGTATAAGTACTATTTTATGTTACTGCTAAATCCGTAACAAAATCTTTGCTCCATTTTCGTAGCACCCAACTTCTTTTATGCAACTTTAATAGTGTCTGAAGTAACTAATATTTCTATCCGTACTCAATTTTTTATTGCGGAAATAAGAATCACTGTATCACGTGTAAAGATATACGCTATTAGAGCTGTTAACAGAGGGCCGACATGGCATGGCAGGTAATGTTCCAAATTGTCCGATTTATGGTCCATACGGTGAATGAGGTCAGCGAGAAAGCCCTACGCGGGCTCAACACGCAATTGCACTTAATACTTTTGCTAATTAGCCACGGCCTCGGCTAAAACAGTACCTACAAACAGTTAATTTGATAAAACATGTGTGAATTTGAATGAGACTAACATTATACACTAAACTTTAGCCATCGTCATGAGTCAACGCCCCGAGTCAAGCCCGAGTTCTAATTATAAATGTGTGGATATTCACATTAAACTGAGCGACAAAGGTATTTCTGATTTAGTGAAACTGAACTAATACATATTACCATATAAGTTTGAGGTAAAGATATAAAACAAGTTGTTATTGAAAAGTTACAATAAATACGTCCTCCATAATCTTCTTACTTTCATCGATTAATCAACAACTATCCAAAATGTAAGACTACAACATAGGCAATTGATATTAAAGTTAATAAAACTGAAAATCTAAATGTTCTTATAATAAATATTTGAATTAAGTAAGATCTTAACTATTTATAGGAACGCTTGATCATGTTTCCTTGAAACAAGAAAAGATATTCAAGACTATTATAAAAAAACAAGTTTTACCACTTGTACCTTAAACTTCCGAAGCAGGTTTTCATGGTTTTATCATAAACTTTGGAATCTTACTAGGACTAGTTATTAAAACCAAGAAAATTGACACACGTGCAAAAAAACGTCTACGTTACGGCAGGACTGTATCAATGGAGGTATTCAGCTTGCGTGCTGAAATCTATGCAAATTCGGTGGGGACTAAGGCCATGGTAAGTCGGTCAACTGGTTTATAGTACACGAATCGCGAGGACGCGCCCAGAATCAAGCGGCGCGCCCAGCGGGAGGATACATTTACGCTACGCTCCTTCCCGCAATGCGACGTCAATATACTCGTGCGTATCATTCCGCCCCACTGATAGCAGGAGTTCCAAAAGGACTCATGTCTACAGCCTGTCTATGATCTTTAAAAAATAATAAAAAATGACTACTGAATGCTTGAATAAAATATCACACAGGCACTGAAAATATTAGGGAAAGTTAGCAAATGTGAAGCAAATTTCTATTAAGTAGTAATTTCCTAGAATTCTCGCTCGGTATCTTTACCATTAAATTCTTATCGTTAGTATTTTGAACAAAAAGTTTGATGGGAATATGTATGAATAATATTGTTTTTTTTCTAGATTAACCAACACAATTTCAGCAAGGACATGTAGGAATGCTTCCTTCAAGCTAATATCGCAAGAATAACAGTTTGACAAAGTGCGTCCACATTTGTTCTTTTACATATCAAATCACCGTTTTCCGAATACGGAACACATGACGTCACGAAATGTATTCCGTCACCGACGCAAAGTGCGTGTATAATAATAGCATAAAATTATAGAAACCATGTAACCAATTTATAACTCCAATCGAGAGAGGGATGAATCTAATTGTTTAAACAATAATGCCACCTTACCAATAGATTTAAATCTGACCTTAACTTGGCAGGTACACAATGCAACTCAAAATATGCCCGCAGCCCTAGTCTACATTTATAGGATAACGATATTCTTCGGCGTGATGTGTTGGTGTGACAGTACGAGCGGTGATTTAATCGAAAAAAATGCTTAATAAATCTATCTAGCTTTAAACATTCATTGTTGCTCACGGAAAAAACTTTTCGTGAACTAATGGGCGAGACAAAACTTAAATCTCGAAATTGACTTGACTTTTTTGTTGTTAGTTCCTTTACCAACAGTCTACTTGCCTTTGTGACTTTGCTGCGGAACATAACCCACCGTGAAACTAAGTCCCGAACTATATCTAGTTATGTATTATGTTAAATACATATAATTACCATTTTCATACCGATATTTATCGTAGCCGTCATAAAGCATAATTTGAAATGTATCAATGACGTAAGACTTATTTCGGCATGCACGACCCGACTACAAAATTTTATAACGACTGACCCAGTCCACGGCAAGTGAACGAGTATCATATCACAATCAGAAATCTGATGTATCTGATTACGATTTTTTTAGTTTTAGGAGATAATAAATAACTCTTTGGAGATAGAGTCAGTGGCATGCATATTATTTTATTTTTTTCAGTGGAAATAATATACTAAAAATAAATAACAGATACTTACTCAGCAGCAGACCTGCTGGCAGTACCAATCGAAACAATATTGCTGCAATGTAGTACTTCGCCATATTTAGGTATTTATCTGAAACATGGAAACAAACTTTAGTGTTGGTGAATACTTGAAACAGTTATTTGCTTATTGGTACTGGACATGTGATTATTTGGACTAAAAATAAAATGATTTCTGAACCACTATTATGTATGATATTTCTGATTGACAAAATTTTCTAGGGTAGGGTATACAAAAACAAAAAAAAATATTAGCACCATATAATGTTTTGTTTTTTCAAATGTAATTTTATATTTTCACATTGTTAGAAGGCAAAATATTGTTCAATATGATTTCTAAACAACTAAAGAAACATATTTTTATTATTTAAAATGTTCCATAACAATATCAAAGAACTCAATTAAAAATTATCAGAATAATAATAATTAAAGAAGATCTTTAAAATTATAATTTATTAATACAAATGATGCATATTTTTTGTACTTTCATAAAAATATAAATTCTGTTCACTGCAATAGCCTAGCCTCCATACAAAATTATAGCAGTTCTTTTTAGTGTCTCCCATGAACAAATATTGTGGCATTATTATTTTTTTTATTAACAGAATTTTAATACTAATAAAATTTACTACATTTTTTTCTTTAGATTTAAACATCTAGAAGTTAAATGCATAAAAAATATATTCTTTAGTATTAAAGTCATATGAGATTCATATAAGATAAAGAGGTGCATCAAATAATTAGATTAAGCAACTTGCACAATGTAAATAAAGACAATAGAAATTATACATGTCATTACATTAAAAATAAAACTTCAATAGTGTCTAAAACTCATGTTATGGGGGTTTGATGCCAAGAATAGGATCTATAGGCAGACTTCTAAACTGAGTCCTAGCCTGCAGGGTACAGGATGTGGGGGAGGACGAAATCGGGGACTATGAGAGGTGTGGGGGGCCGGCAAGTCCTTGTCAAAATTACAATGCCCGCCGCCAGCACCTCTCTCCTTCCCCATTCTCATCCTCCCCTGCATAATGTACCCTGAAGGTGAGGTTTCAGTTAAGCAGTCTACCTATAAAAAGCTTCCAATCCCAGAATACAGGTATATTTCCATACAGATAATTTAAAGCTGAGAAATTAAATTGTAAATAATGAACACACACAATATTTTTTTTACCAAGTTTCAAGATAAAAAAGCTAGTATGGCCCAGCTTCACTATGGTTAAAAGCTACCATAATCCAATAGATTCATTTATATTATCATTTGATATTATATTTCTTTTTTTAAGCATTGAACTTCAACAAAGTAAACCTACAAAAGAGAGATTATAGCAATAAGATTGGTGAGAGGTTGTTTTAATAATTTTTACTACATAAATTATTATTTTATTATTGGTGCTTCAATGTCAGTCGATAGATAATTTTGTAAATGATGCTGCATGGAATCTATATAAATCTAAAACATATCTAGACAAATGATCTGAAAATCAAATTAAATAAGATTGAACTTATAAACTAAATGTGTTGACAAAAGAGATTTTTTGGACATATCAAACTACTTAAATGAATATGAAGTAAGTAAGAACTATAAAGTTTTAGTTTTATATAAAAGCTAAGAAAACATAAAACGCGTTAAATCGATTAATTTAAATATGGACAAAACTTAACTACCAAGTTGAAGCTAATAAATAAAGGTATTTCAAACCAAAAAAGTGTGGCCTCAAATTCATGCGTTTTCAGTTATCTAACTAGTTATGTGAGAAAAGTAAAAATTACACAATGTATTTAGTAGCTATGTGATGAAATTAAAACAAAATAAAAAAACAGGCAACCATTTAGTACATCTTCTTTTCAACCACACATACCTTCTTTTCTATTAAATTTGTATAATCACGTCACTTCATTTGCACATATACACTTCAAAATAAAACACATAATTCGTTCGTCTAGAAATAAATAAACGAATATATTTTTCTAACATTTTACGACATAGTCTTTAGCAAACGAAAAACAGCACGTCCACCGCATTCCCCACCCAAAATGACATTAAGTTGAATGACATTGACAGTGATAGAAAGAGGCCGGTTTGTCAGTGTCACAACATTACATTGACAGTTAGTGTTACCACACGAGATCAAAGATAAACATCTAAAATAGCGAGGCGATGCCGCCGATACGCCCACTAACGATGGCAAAATACATCTGCTAAATAAAATTAGTTTACACAAAACATCTACCTCTTGCTAGTGTATATAATCCATCACACACATCACACTTTTAAGAGTCACGTGTAAGGTAGCGCATGATTTATCACAATGACAATAGGCCTGATTTTAACATGATTATTTGAAGGCCATAATTGCGTTAAGAGGACGTTTTCTTGGCTTCATACAAAATTGCTCGGTCACAGAAACCCACGTGGGCAATTGTGTATGAAACCGCGTGCACATTCGCTTAACGTAGTTTTACCCCTTAAACTTACTTCGTTATCGTGCCCTCATCATCATTATCACATCATCACCAGCCTCAAGGGCGTCGCCAAGGGGGGGCCAGGGGGGGGGGGGCAGCTGCTCCCCCTAGAGATCAAATTTAGTGACTAAAGTGCGAGCAATTGACTTCCTTACCTATTATATTACCCCATTGCCCCCCCCCCCCCTTAGTCATAAGCTGGCGACACCCTTGACCAGCCTATTAATGACCCCACTGCTAGGACTTATCCTAAAGCTTGAATAGGGAGATTGGGCCATGACCAACCACGCGGGCTCAGTCCGGATTGGTGGGTGCAAACTAACGACTGAAGATGCAGCTGGGACCAACGGCTTAACCTACCTTCCGAAGCATGAAGGAATTCGAGATACTAAATTTTGTCGTGCTCTTGAGAGAAATTTAGTTTTAAGTTTAGAGAATTACGCCAGAAACGACACCAAAAAAGACATTTTATAATTCAATAACAAATAGGTATAACTGACTTAATTCAGACGTCCTAGTTAGGATCCTAAAAAGAAACTTAATTAGAAGCTTCTGATTACACTTTTTGACTAATTTAGTTACTGACTCAGTTACAAGTGCGCGACGAATCCAGTCGGACTTTTTCGTAATGGCTCCAGTCCTGTCAAAGCAACAAAAAATCTGTCTTCTCGTAGGCCTGGCAGTTGGCTCAATAAAAATAAAATAAAGTAAAAAAGGAGAAAGAATATTAATATTATTAATGTTATTTTTATTATTTTTGTTCCAAAGATACGGCATATGTTTATACAATTCGATTATGTTACTCATAACTTCTTTTTCTTTTACCGCCGACATCGCACACTCGCGTAATTCGTAATCGTAGATACAACCCGTCCTCACGCAGTGTTACCTGCAGTGCCACTGAAGCATCAAAACGCTATTACACTTCCTAAATCGAGTTCTAATTAGGATACTAAATGATTTAGTCAGTCAGAAGCCACACTTCTTCCGATTTAGGATGCTAATTAGGATCCTGACTTCCTAAATGCTATTTCACTTGACTGAATTAGTTACAGAATGATATAGAACGTCTGAATTTAGACAGGTGGAATAAGCGCTTTAAAGGCTTGTGCAAACTACAGTCGCCGAGTCGTGCCGCAAAGCACCGCATTGCATAAAGAGTTCAATCAATAATTGAATCAGTAGGTCATTGGCAGTCCAAGTGGATTGTGCTGATCTGAGTGATCTGTCGAATAATTTTATTTTATCATCTGCTAACGAAGAGTTAAAACAAAAAGGAACGTAATTCTTGGGTCACATATATGCTTGGGTATGCTTAGTTTAAATGGTTCACGCAAATAAATTAAGTGTTTGAATTTCACATGCTTTTCAAAGACCCTTTAGACGATGAAAAAATATTTTTCAATATTTTAGAATGACATACGAAAAGTATCATAAATATTGCACCTGCCAACGCACACAGTGGCGGTCGCATCAAAACGCATAAGTTGAAATGAAAATCAGGAAAAAACAAACTTGTTCAGAACAAATAGGCTAAGGCCATTTCTCTAAAATGTGTGAAATTATTTTTAAAACCATTTTTTGCAAAATCAGTCCGTTTCCTAGATAGCAGGTCAGTTCAGCTGTGTTCATGTGGAACGAAGTCTAGCCTCTTGCTGTTAACAATTGGAATCTACTAAATAATTTGAATTTTTTTGTTATAGCCATACATGATAGTGGTTAAGGGATTTAGAAAATCGGTATTTATCGTAAAAGTTAAAGAAATAAATATTTCTGTTCTTATTCAAAATATTAATTTATTCATTATAATATGTGTCCATTAATATTGAATAATTTGAAATACTAATCAAAATTAAATGCTTTGTCTGACATGGTATATTAAATGTGCATTTTTTTTTCTTAAATTATTCCGATTAGCCGGCATCACTAGCCAAATTTTATTTTTATTGCGAATTAATGGCGTAGCCAGGTGAGTTTTCTTGTTTATTTCTTATTTCCATTGTGTTCCAAAGCTTTCAATTGTTTTGTCTAAATGTTTTTGTTGAGCAAAATATTCAATCTTCTAAACGTCAAAATTTAACCAGCTAAACCATTTTTATTACCCGAAAAAACAATATTACGAGTAATGAACACGTATTGGATTTGTTCCGAATTTATTCGCTAGGATAGGATCATTGTCATCACTTTCACTTTTACACGATTTGCTATAATAGTGTTTTCAGCGTACATACGCCGCTTTGAGGGGCGCAGTTGCCATGGATGAGTGAGTTTCGCGTTATTTCTCTTGTGTTATACAGTTTCATCGTGAATAATAATGACAAGGTTACTCATATCCTTTAAAAAAATGTGACTACGATTGCTCACTACGAAACTTTACACGCCTTTGTAATTCCCACATTGATTCTTATTATGTTTGTTTGTGCAGCACCATGTCGACCCTAACGAAAATGACCCGTACGGTTAAAAAACTGGAAGTACCCAGACCCCTGAAATCGACGACCAGTTCCGCACACAACCGTAATTCTGTGTTGGACGTCAAAATAAATTCAGGTGAGAATTTCTATCACATAAAACATATTTTTCTCAACTGAACTACACTGCTGCTCTCTGAGATATCAATAAATTTTTAAATTTATTTATTTATTGTTAATGTTGTCACTTTCTTTGAACTCTGATTGTGGCCATAAAACTTGTTATTGTTATTATAATTACTGGTTCTTACTTGATTCTTATTTGAAAAATAGTAATTAATAAACATTGGTAGTAATGAAACTACAATTTGCTGTTCATGTGTATTTTAGTTACTTTTAAGTTTCTTAAAATTAACAATTGGTTTTATTGTTTGTAAATTATCAATTACTGATTCCAATTGGACTCTTAATGTAATTTTTATATGATTTTACATGTGTTTTGTTGTTGGGAATTCAGATATTGGTTCTAATAAGATTGTTGTTGATAATATTTTATTGAAAAATATTTTGAGCAATGAATCTTATGCAGTTAATATATCAGTTTTTATTTAATTAATGAGTTCCTAGCTTATCAAAAAATCTTCACAAGTTTACAGGAGGAGCTTGTGGATTATTAATAATTACTAATTTATTTGGTTTTGTTATGAAAATACTTACGATACAAGGTGCATAGAATAATTAAAGTAAATTTATTTTACATAAATGATGTTTCAGTTGATGATCTGATTGTGTTGACGGAAGCGGTTGCATATCAAATGATGCAGGGGAACTATGACCGTGCACTTCAGAGTAATGTGGCCACTATGTATTCCAACTTGAAGCTATACGGCGCTCAACTTGAGGCACTCTATAAAGATTTTCTTGATAGGTTTGTTGGATTATTCAAATAATTAAAAACACAAACAGAGTTCTGTATAACTTACCATTTATGTATACTTTCAGATACTTTGTTGTGTTCCGCAATGGTTCTCAGGATGAGAGATTGGATAAAAAAACTCGACTTCATCTTCTTGAGCTTATAGAGTTGCGTGCAAAACTGTGGCAAGGCTCTGACTACATGAGCCAATATTATAGGCACCGTGGCACTCATGCAGAGGTAAATAAATAACACAAAAACTCCTCTTAAATTTTCTGCCAGGAATAGAAGTTAAAATTATTAACTTCTTATTGTTATGTGTGTGTAACACAATTCCATATCTTGTAGTTCTTTTTTGTCTTAATTAAATATGTATTGTCTAATCTGTTCTTAAAGCTTTGATGTGGTTATAGATATTTTCATAAAATTGAGTTTCATATTATTTAAGATGGTGCAAACTTCAATAATAAAACCCCCTAAAATGAGACCCTTTTGGTTCCCTTTTGCTTCAAAATCCTGAACTAGGATTCAGGATTTTGAAGCTGATAAATCATTGAGTGCACTCAATGATTTAGCAAATATCAAGATTCACATCTTAAAAGGGAGTTAACAAATTTCAGAAAATTTAACTGTTTACCAAATATATTAGATACAGCCTACTATGACAGAAAGATTGTGGAGTTTAATCCTAAAACAACTTCCGAGTTTTATTAAAATTTAGAAATATTATTACTCAACTCAACATTCAATGGCGCATGTTTTATGTCTGTTGCTGGATTCAGTTCAGCCAACCCAGGTTTAGAGGCTATTTTGAAATGAAATCAAAAGGAACCTCATTCAAGTTGACTTAATAAAAGCTCTTTTGAATTGTCGTTAGTCTTTCCATTCCTACCACCTCTAGTTGCACTATTTGTTAGAATCTTATTAGAGTTGGATTACTATTTACGTTTTTCACAGCTTTCATCTCTGCACAGTTTCATATTTAGTAAATTATTATTCTTCTTCAATTTGAGTGATTAGTAGAGATTGGATATTCTGATGCATTTCTACCTAAAGTTATTTTTTGGCTATTAAATTATGGAAGCGGAACTATTATTTAGGATATTTTTAGTAAAAATATAATCCCAAAAGGACATTGTCCTGCGTCCATACATAGTTATTATTTTCTAGATTCGAAATCGCAAGTAAATGACTGTAAAAACAAAGAATATTGACGGACACTTCTGAGAACTTAAATTATTAGGAAAACTAAAATTTTTTTGAGGTTATGTTTAATATTAAATGAAACATAGGTCAACCTTTGAACTTAGTATGAACTCAGTATGAAGTGAATTAATATTACAACTAATTCATTTTATTCGGTGCGATTTTAAAGAAATAAAATAAAAAGTAATAGTAAATTAGTACTGTAGTTTTGCTTCTTATTTATTGACTATTTTTCACATAACTGTATCATATTGTATTTATTTGTATATCACATGTACATTGTTTAAATATGCAGCGTGAATGTGTATCAGGTGCTCTTAGGATGATTTCTGATTCTCTTAGGATGTTGTGGCACAGGTTCACTAGCACTTGGTAATAAGGTCTCTGCTCTTTGGTAATATCGATGGCATATTAGATAGCCGAAATAGTTATTATAGGAAAAACAATCGCAAATAAACGCACACAATAGGTAATCGGAAACTGGAATGCACGAATGCCACAGACTACAACGAATGCAAACTGCCTGCACCACAACCACAGACTATCGAGTTTTATGCCGGCCCTTCACTTGACAACAGTTTGTCCTTGTCATGCTTAATAAGGAATGAAGAGGACAGATTGATGTCAAGTTTTCAAATAGCAAATACGAATAGCCAAGTGAAGTGCCCGCATTAGGAAGAAAGAATTTTGTTTGCAGCGATGTCATAGATTATACACATAAAATGGTATTAATTGTCTCAGATTATTTTTTTATTTAGTTTACTTAACTGGAAGTGTCCGTCACAATCTAAATACTGATAATTATTGCAAAAAATATACTAAGAATTATCATAAATGCTAAGAATGATCATAAAGTCCTTTTTGGATCGCATAACTAATCAGCTGTTTATTTAAATTTTAATTTCCCATTCAAGTATGTAATATAAAATTTAATTTCCCATTTGTGTATCACCTTGCCAGACGTCCCGATTTTTAAATCAAAATTATTTATACTAGGTACCTATCTATTGTCACGTAAACGTAATTTGAACGCAAATAAAAACATAAATATTCAAAATCTTGATTATATACGTTTTTTTACTATGTCCCGCTTTCGAAGAAAAGAATCCCTTTTTTTTTCACTCAAAAAGTAAATCGCGACTTGGCAAAAAAAGAACTGGCAACGCTGGTGTGTATGTAAGCTGTAAGTGAAATGATGATGTGGTTGATAAGAAAACATAAATGAATATAAATTTATTTATTCATTAGGACATCTTACATATTTTTTTTATGTTATACACACAGTGAGTTGCCCTGTTGTTATTAGTGTTAATCTGGGTTTATGAGATCTCATGGATTATACACTTAAATTTGAATTTCCCGGAACGGCGGGATTTATTTGATAAAAAGTCTTTTCCATAATAGCCAACATCTCAACTTTAGGTAAATATGCATCCGACTATCTGATTTCTAGTGGTAAGTCTTCCAATTTGTACATGATGGAAATAAATGATTTATTACAAGTTCTCTCGCGGTAGATTTTACAAACCGATGGCGAATATTCTAGACATTCATGAGCGCTTGTAACAGTCTGAACTGAATAATTTTTCTAGTAAAACTTTCTTCAGATTTAAACATCTAGCAGTTAAATGATGCTTAAAATAAAAATATTATAAACAACAATGACTATTTTTTCTTCCAAATGTTTAATACTTGTATGTAAAGGTATTTCATTTGATATTGTGGGTTACCTAATTTTAATTTATTTTGATATGTATCTATTAATCATAGCCACTATTGGTGCCTACGATGGAGGGGTCTGGAACGGGCGGCTCGGTGTCCCCTACGCTGGCTGCGCCCGCCGAGCCGCCCGCCCTGCTCGGCCCCGGCGAGGTCATCAAACCCTCGGGCAAGTTCCCCAAGCCCACCAAGATCCCCGGCAAGAATTACTCTAAGGACGAAGTCGTCATCAGGAACGCTGACTCTGGAAAAGGTATGCATTCAATTAAACTTCTGTCCGTTTTGAACGATTAGGTACAATTCTTTCTCATTCCATATAGGGATTCCAGATTGGGTAAATTGCATGATTTTCTAAAGAACGATCTGATGATAACCAAATGGGGAAACTGCATGAATAAACAATTTTTGCGCTTATCTGTTTATTGACTTTGTCTCTGTAGATACTGTTAATTTGCATGATGGAAATTCTGTATGAAAATAATTGAACGAGGGTTTAGACATAATCACGTATCACGATGCGATAAAGCGATTAATGTTCGCGTTTTTGAAATGTTTACTATGCGTGATGGATAAAGTCGGACAGTATTGAATATTAATTGCATCGGTACTGGTTCTTCATGATCATAATAAACACGTACATTCACATGAGTGAATGAATCTTGTTTCTACATATTTATGTTGGAAACAAGATTTTAAAGTGCATTGTAAAGTCTGATATTATATTATGTATTTCTTATGCTATCATTGAACAATATCGATCTCGATTAAAATGGCTCAGGTGATTGGCGGAATCTGAAGTTATGTTGTGGTGTTACAGTGATGGGTATCAAGGGCAGGCGGGTGCACATGATCGAGGAGCTAAGTGACACGATTATATCGTTTCAGCGAGGTACGAACGCACGGAGCGGTCTAAAGGCGCTTGCGCATGGTGTGCAGGGCTATTCTATCATACTGAACGTTTCTCTTCTATCAACGGGCCCGATTCTGGCAATATTCCATAAATCTAAAATTAAATTTGACAACTATGTATCTTTGTCATACTGTATACAGATTGAACAGAAGTTGTCAAGTTTACTAAGTTCAGAGAATTATACCGGAATTAGGTCCATTATTTTCTCATTCAATCACATTAACATAGCAACATATATACTTACCCTTTATTATAACAGACGAATCACTAAAGTTTCATTGTTTGTTTCTAGCAAATTCAAATAAAAATCCTATTTAATGTCAAATGATAATGGATGTGAACTTAACATACAATATTAAAATAATAGATTAACACACTGCCTATTAAACGCATTTGGCTTTGAGCTTACTAATACCAACCCCTAACTTTACTAACAACTACAAGTATTCCAAAAAGGTGCTGTACTTTATATATTTTTGATAATTACAGTGAGCCCCGGTGCCAAAGAACGTCTAGTACAAATTACTGGACCCAATGAAGAGAATGTTAAGTAAGTGACACTAAATTTTTTAACTTTCATATCGCATTTTCATAATATCCTTATGAATGGTTTTCTTTAAAAAGATATTAAAGGTTTTCTCAGTTATAATAATAACTCGCGCTCATAGAGAAACAGATCGAGAATGTCGTGTCAATACATTCTCTCCCTCTAGGACATTATTCCTCACAGGATGTGTGAGAGGGACAGAATATCTTGTGTTGCCATTTTCGAATAGTTTCTACATTGTTGCAAGTTATATTAGACACTTCTTTCTCAGTCAAGCTATCTTAGATCCGTATTAATAGATCGCTCTCATTTCTGAAACTACGATCTTGAAATACTGTTTTCATACAAAACAGCATTTAAAGATCGTGCTCAAGACCGCTCTCAGAGTTGAGAGCGATTTATTAATACAGGCTTTAATAATAGTATAATCACTTTTATAATTAACATTCAGAAACTTCGATTATCAATGACCTAGGAACTCATGAGTGTGCAATATTATTCATTAGTCACGCGAAGCACCTGATCGGCGATACGATCCGTCGCAACGCGTCGCCCGTAAGACTGGAGGCCGGCAACGAGGGGCTGGGGGCCTCGCGCGCATCGCTCGACTCCAACGGGTCTGATGACACGCCGCGCCCGCGCGAGGTATATAACACGCCTTACTTATTGTATCAATGTGCGGCTTCGATCCGTCGCCCGTCAGACTGGAGGGCGGGCTGGGGGCCTCGCGCGCATCGCTTGAATCCAACGGGTCTGATGACACGCCGCGCCCGCGCGAGGTATATGACGCCCCTTACTTGTTGTATCAATGTGCGGGCTCGATCCGTCGCCCGTGAAACTGGAGGCCGGCAACGACGGCGGGCTGGGAGCCTCGCGCGCATCGCTCGACTCCAAACGGGTCTGATGACACGCCGCGCCCGCGCGATGTATATGACGGGCCTTACTTGTTGTATCAATGTGCGGCCTCGATCCGTCGCCCGTGGGACTGGAGGCCGACAACGAGGGCGGGCTGGGGGCCTCGCGCGCATCGCTTGAATCCAACGGGTCTGATGACACACCGCGCCCGCGCGATGTATATGACGGGCCTTACTTGTTGTATCAATGTGCGGCCTCGATCCGTCGCCCGTGGGACTGGAGGCCGACAACGAGGGCGGGCTGGGGGCCTCGCGCGCATCGCTTGAATCCAACGGGTCTGATGACACACCGCGCCCGCGCGATGTATATGATGCGCCTTACTTGTTGTATCAATGTGCGGCCTTGATCCGTCGCCCGTGGGACTGGAGGCCGACAACGAGGGCGGGCTGGGGGCCTCGCGCGCATCGCTTGAATCCAACGGGTCTGATGACACGCCGCGCCCGCGCGATGTATATGATGTGCCTTACTTGTTGTATCAATGTGCGGCCTCGATCCGTCGCCCGTGGGACTGGAGGCCGACAACGAGGGCGGGCTGGGGGCCTCGCGCGCATCGCTTGAATCCAACGGGTCTGATGACACGCCGCGCCCGCGCGATGTATATGACGCGCCTTACTTGTTATATCAATGTGCGGCCTCGATCCGTCGCCCGTGCGACTAGAGGCCGGCAACGAGGGCAGGCTGGGGGCCTCGCGCGCATCGCTTGACTCCAACGGGTCTGATGACACGCCGCGCCCGCGCGAGGTATATGAGGCGCCTTATTTTTTGTATCAATGTGCGGCGTCGATCCGTCCCCCGTAAGACTGGAGGCCGGCAACGAGGGCAGGCTGGGAGCCTCGCGCGCATCGCTCGACTCCAACGGGTATGATGACGTTTATTCCCAATCGCCCTCGCGGGGTGCCATCGTAGGCAAATGGGAATGAAGTCATTGCCTCCACACAATCAGTAAAATCACAATATACGACGCGCCTTAATTGTTAAATTGAAACTTATCACATTACATTATTAAAAATGCAGACCTTATCAACAGCATGGGTGGATCAGTGGTAGAAAGCTCACTTGCTATGCGGGCAGCCCGGGTTCGATTTCCAGCCAAGGAAGAACTTTTTTGTTAATGCTTTTAAGTTTCATTTGCATCGTGGTTTCTTAAAACCACACCCATTTTATTATCGTAATGCCACTCCTACACCTGCGTCTATTACCACGAACCTACTTCTATGATAGCGATAAACACTGGTGTGGGACGTCATAAGCGGCTATCGTAACGAACTATCGAGCTGCATGACGATGATGCTAGCCAGACGATAGCTTGACTGATGGTTTTTGACATACATCAAAGGGATTTGGGGGACGATGAATTTGTGTGTGCAGGTGAAGGACTGTGTGCCTTTAGCGCCGAAAATTTGGACGCTAATTTTAGCGCAATAAATAGGTAGTCAATGTTTCGTCGTTCAGGTGTGAGAGAGGCTAATTACATAATGTCAACTTAAGTGCAAAGTCAGAATTTCTTTATTCAAATTAAATGCATCATAATCACCCGATGGAATTTCACTGCTGCATATAGGCTTCCTCTAGGGATTTTAAACTCAACGATCCTGCGCTTTCCGCATCCAGTGGGTCTCCACCTGGTGAGGAATCTACCGACACGCTTCTCGGTGCGAGGTCGCCATTGAACCATTTTGGGACCTCAACGTCCATCGGTTCACCGAACAATGATGCATCTGAAAATAGAAATGAAAAAAATAATGCTTTCATTTTTAAAACTCTGGTTATCGTTTTCCAGAAATCACCTCACAATTCCCGGGCTCTGCTTCATAGCTTTTCGACAAACGACGCCGCACTAGGAGAATATAAATATACTGTGACTTTTGGGCAACATTCCATTAAGATCACAGGCAATAACTTGGATCTTGTGAAGGTAAATACTTTTATTTCATCTGTAATAGAGTTTTAACAACCTGTTTAATATATATTAAGAACTTATTTCATTTCGATATAACGATAGACGGCATACACAAAAAGTGTTTTATTAAATTTCCTAAAGTTTGCAAAACTATGTAACCCGTTCAAACCTTTTTTTTACTACTAGTCTTTAAAATTTGCTCTAACCTGGCCATACTTTTTCACGCAGACTGCAAAGTTAGTGTTAGACGAATACTTCGAGAGCGCCGGCGCGCTGGAAGCGATGGGCGCGGGCTCCGGGGACTTCTTCACGCTATCGCAGCGGCCCGGCGCCGCTCTGTTACTGCGTGACGACGACGCGCTCAACGGGGACGACGAGGTTTTCCACGGGCAAAACGAGAACGAGCACGCGGGTGAGTGAGGGGGACTAGTGCTGAGGGCGTTTTCTTCACGCTGTCTCAGCGGCCCGGCGCCGCGCTGTTACTGCGCGACGACGACGCGCTCAACGAGGACGACGAGGTGTTCCACGCGCAAAACGAGAACGAGCACGCGGGTGAGTGAGGGGGACTAGTGCTGAGGGCGTTTTCTTCACGCAGTCTCAACGGCCCGGCGCCGCGCTGTTACTGCGCGACGACGACGCGCTCAACGAGAAAGACGAGGTGTTCCACGCGCAAAACGAGAACGAGCACGCGGGTGAGTGAGGGGGACTAGTGCTGAGGGCGTTTTCTTCACGCAGTCTCAGCGGCCTGGCGCCGCGCTGTTACTGCGCGACGACGACGCTCTCAACGAAGACGACGAGATGTTCCACGCACAAAACGAGAACGAGCACGCGGGTGAGTGAGGGGGACTAGTGCTGAGGGCGTTTCCTTCATGCTGTCTCAGCGGCCCGGCGCCGCGCTGTTACTGCGCGATGACGACGCGCTCAACGGGGACGATGAGGAGTTCCACGCGCAAAACGAGAACGAGCACCCGGGTGAGTGAGCGAGACTAGTGCTGATGCTGAGGGCGTCTCCTTCACGCTGTCTCAGCGGCCCGGCGCCGCGCTGTTACTGCGCGACGACGACGCGCTCAACGGGGACGACGAGGTGTTCCACGCGCAAAACGAGAACGAGCACGCGGGTGAGTGAGCGGGACTAGTGCTGAGAGCGTCTCCTTCACGCTTTTGCAGCGGCCCGACGCCGCGTTACCACTGTAAGACGTCGACGTATTCAACGCGCAACACGAGGGTGAGTTAGAGGGACGAGTGCTGAAAGTCCGGTGGTCGGCCAATGCATTGACAAAATATGGGCCGCTTTTTCTCTCACTGATTTACTTTATACTTGGTTATGGAATATTCTGTCCAAACTCTTTGTCTATTATCACACTGGTAGCTGATACGAGCTGCGTATACGAGTGTCGCGATGACTGTTCGCTCCATTCCCTTTAGTACGAGTTAATTATCTCTACGACCACGCAGGTTAGTAAGAGAAGCAACTCCAATTTGAACAGCAATTCCTCTGAATTGCTGCTCAAACTGGAGCCACCATTTGGGGAAGGTAACGAGCACCTTAGCAATGGTATTAGTCAATTTCTTTAAGACTGCTCAGCTCCTCTTCTATGGAAACGCAGCCTTACAGAAGATCACAGTGATATGGTAAGGATAGACGCATCTACTGGCAACAGACGTTTTATTATGATGTGTTATTGTATTTTTGTCTTGTATGATAGAAAGTATGCAATAAATATAGTGACTATGTGATTACTTACGCTGTTAGCTAAGATTTTGCCTTGCATTTTTTGAGTATGTATCACAATGATTTTGGCAAATCTATTATATGTACATTGAACCTAATTGTTTAGTCTAGAAAGTCTAATTTGTCAATTTAGTTCTATTATAACGAATAAGTTGTCTTACAGGTACGCAGTGATGCATGAGGCTCTTTGAGGAAATATTTATTATGATTGAGCTTAGATAAAATTAATTAATATTAAAGGTTAACTTAAAGCGTAGTAGCAATACTTTCAAAAATATTAATCAATGCTTGTAATGGCATGAAAATAACGTGAAGCATGGAGGTTTGCATTTATTTTATTTTTTTAATTATACCTACATTTTTTTAAAGCAGTTAAGATTAAAGTGTACAAATATTGAGGACTGACTGAAGCATGTATGAAACCTACATGTAAATTCCATAAGTTTGTTCATTAGGTTTATTTCAATAATTGTATTTTTATCATTATTGTCGTGGTTTTTGGTTCATTAGATAATGACAACATCAATGTGTATATTTATTTATTTCATTCATATCCTTTTGGTGACATAGTGTCCTCTTCTGCAGAAGTTTCAAAATTTTGCTAACTGAAATACATCATATTTCATAACATGGCCATTTTCATTTAATCATTCTGCTAAAAGGGAGTCACGGTCACATAACTTTGTTTACACACTTCTAGTCGATGTCAAATATAACTTAAAATGCCGATGGGATCATATCTTGTAAAATAATTATTAAATAATAGTATAATAATAATATAGCGGTACCTATACAAACGTCAAATTGGATGCCTTAGTTGCCTTTACGACACCGAATCAAAAATCGATCTAATGTCAAATGCAACCTCCCAACACGCCACTATACTGTTTGGTTGTTACTTATATACTTTGTTTAGAAATCTTCTCGTTAATCTATTATCTATGGGAGTTTAAGCTCAAACAGCATTCCTTCTATGCTTTAGTTGTTGTTTTGAGGCTATCGCAAAGAAAGAGTGGCATGATTCTCTAAACCTAAACTTAAATTTGACAACAGTGTATCATTGTCACTCTATAAAGAAGGAAAAGGAGAGACTGATGTTAAATTTAGTTTTAAGTTTAAAGAATTAATGACTCTGATTGCGGTCGTTGGTTGATGTATTATTGCATATTATGAGTAATTGTTTATCTTGGTATTGAAAGAAGTCTTTCGAAAAACACGATGATCAGAACACCCCATATTAGTTATTTTCTCACGCTCTTACTGGTCGACTGATAGAGAATGCCTTATGGCATTATGTTCGCCATTTGCATTGTTATTTTACAATAAAGTTTAAATAAACACTGATTGAATCCCATCGGTTAAAGATGAGTGGCATCGGCTAGAGAGTAGCGAGTGGTATTCCTCGTTGGTGCGTGAGATACGTACATGTAGACGCGTATACGTATGCCCGTGGCGGAGTAACGTGGTTGTGTGCAGGCGAGGGCGAAGGGGCGCGGCGCCGGCCACGGTTCTCGCGCGCCGCCAGCACCGACAAGGCGACAGGTATTCACCCCAGCTAACTTTTTGAGCAACGACCATACACTAGGAAGCCTGCGCAGTAGCAATTTTTGATGACCTCCGTGGCCGTGTGGTATTTACGCCGGGTTTTAATATAGAGGTATAAGAATAAAGTAGGGGAGATATAGACTCTACTACAAGTGGAAGTGTCCTTCTAATAGAAAGAGAGAGAAGACGAGAGACCGCGAGCTTTCGCTCTCTAATCGCGCATGAGCATTGGCAACCGTAAGCATCTTACTATTTCGATGTGATGCTTGGACCAACTATTGGACAGACGACTGCGCATGCGTCACAAGATAGAGATAGCTAGCGGTCTCTAATCTTCTTTCTCTTTCTACTAGACGGACACTTTTAGAGCAGCCTTCCCCAGTCTATTATTATACCTCTATGGGTTTTAAAGTGTCTCGCCTACTTGAAGAGGTCCCAGGTTCGAATCCCGGCGGGGGCAGATATTTGTGTTATGAAGACCAGCATTTGTACACCATTCATAGATGTTTAACACAAGCCTATAGTGCTTACTTTGGGGCTAGGCTAATTGGTGTGTGTTTTGGAAATATTTTTTTATGTTAATTTATTTTTTAATTTTACGTACAAAAACATCTACTGCGCAAGTTTATTTGTCTGTGGTTTTGCTCAACAAGTTTGCCGCGACTTTATAACGTTATAACCACCCACATAATTATCATGCTCGCACCCGTCCCACCATTAACGCACCGCATTGTGCTGCAGCACTAGTGCTGCTGTACTGTAAGAATAATCTCAGTTTTCACCGCGTGATCCGCCGGTGTGATTTAAAATGTAAGCCTTATACAGCCAGTCACAAGTATAAACGATATCGCTGTCGCGCTCAGTAGCAATAGCGAATCAGTACGCGATACCGCGACATGCGCAATAATCGTTGTTGCGCTTGGTTAATTGGTTAGTCAGTTTTATTCGGTTCATTAGTAAACACAAGGTGAGTGGACCATGGAAAAAAATACGGTTGGACTTGCTAGGATATATGGACCTTACTAAGAACATTTACAAATCATGGAAATATGGACACTTAGTTTATGGTTATAAATACGTTCGGGAAAAGTTTTATGTTTCTTCTTAAAAAATTTTTGGCCTTATAAAGAATGGACCCATAAAAAGGCCATTATAGGCCAATTTTGTTATTTAAAATATAATTTAATTCCAAAAAGCATTGTCAACTTATTTGTTATTGATATAATACTCATAACTATATTTTTTTCATAAGTATATTCTTTGTTATTTGCTAGTGTTCAAGGAATATTCGTTGAAATTTTTAAAGAAGATTATAATCTATTAAACATTTAATGTTTCGTTTAAATGAAAAAGCCTTCTATGTTGTTTTAGTAAAAGCCGATATTCGATAATTACAACTCTTAATTAATAAACTGTTTCTTTCATTTATCCAGTGAACTAATAAAAACTTTTTATTCGTTAGACTGGCCTTCCATGGTCCACCCACCTCACACTTCATATGCGACCACTAGAATTTTTATTTTTATAATAGATAACGATGAAGAGGAAGCATCATTGTTACTTCACCCACCAATAAGGAACCTAATTTCGTGCACCATTCGCCTCACTCCGCCGCGCTGTCAGGCAACATCGCCTACCAAAATTGATAGCGTTATCGCTACCGAATGCAACAGCCTTATCGCTTAAATAAGCCTTTAAAATCATGCTCTTACAGAATAGCACTGCAGGCCCGAATTCAAGACAGGGCAGGCGGGACTGCTAATCAGACCCCACAACAGAGATAAAATAATGTTTAAATTTCGTCAGCAACATCTACTTTTGCCCTAAAGCCTCGACAGCTCTAAATCCGCCCCTGACTGCACGTTTGTTATTGTGCGACTCAAACTTTAGAGGCGGCTGTATAGTGATATCCCACGAGCAAATACATGACGCTTAATTTACTGTACAGTGACTGCTAACTTGACAGCCGCCATTAGGTTTGAGTCCCACTAAAGTATTTTCTTACTCATTTCATCTTTTCACGCACTCCAATCTTGTAAAGCTAAGTACTCACGGAGAAGTTTTTACCCGAATCCGCTGTAGGGAGAGCTGTTTTATTTCAAAACTTACGAGACTGAGATATATATCTATCCATAACGCATAGTGTAGTTTCTCCAACTCACGTGTTCAAACTTCCTAGAATTTCAATTCACACCGGAATGGCAGCGGCCGCCACCGACACGGTGAGCACTTTCTCACTGAAAGTAGTGTGTAATAATTTTAAACTTTATCTACATACTCAAATACCAGTGTCGCTTGAAAAGGTTCTGCAGTGTCGCGAACTGGCGGTATCGCGCGTGACCGTGCTGGCGATACTGGTCTTTTATGTGAGTAGATTAATATTAAAATTATTTCACATCGCTTTGTGTGCATCGGCTGCTGCCATTCCGGTGTGAAATTGACCCTTAGTGCTTGCATATCTCTTCCTGCATAAAGTGTATCTGTCCGATGTGTATTGGAATCTTGTTATTTGCTGCTTTTTTACGTTATCAATGCATTGAAGGACAAAGACGACTAATTCGCCGAGGCCCGTTGCGTTGGCCATTAAAAATTGAAAGAACGGTCATATCATTTTATACGGACAAACAAGAGTTGGGTTGTCTGCGGATGACAATATTGACTGGGTAATAATTTATTCGGGTATTGAAAAATAGTAACATTTCCTAACGGGGTAAGCGGGAGGCCGCTTTCTTCACGATAGGCCATTGCCTATATTATGATGTCCATAGGGGAGGTCTGTGTCACAACAGTATGGGTATTACAGTAGAAGGCTCACCTGTACATAAACACGAAAACATTTTTAACGCTTTAGCCATTTCAACAATGTTCCGTACGTTAATGGCTATATTTCTACGATAAGAGAGATCGAATTTAATTATTTGTGTGACATGTCCATACTTACATTTTATGTGAAGTCACTAATATTGCATAACCTCCACTAACAAGGTAAGTATTATTATTATTATGGCTGCGTCCTTTGTCTTACTATAATTTGAACTTTATCAAATATATAATTTATTTTGATAACATTCAAAAGAATGTTTAATATATTTTTTTTTAAATTTGTTTAACTTTTCTTCTTTACTTAAATAAAGTGAATAATGGTATCGATTCTAGCACGATTCTCTAAATCTAAACTTAAATTTGACAACAGTGTATCCTTGTCATTCTCTATACAGAATGAAAAGGAGAGACTGATTTTAAATTTAGTTTTAAGTTTAGAGAATCATGCCAGAATTGCCACCGCTGTGTGATTAAAAGCGCCTATTATCACGCATTATAGAACTTTCACTTTGATCAAAGAAATTATTATGTATGTACTCAATCATTCGCCAATTACTTAATATCACTGATATAACCATATATCTATATCTTGATGTTCATACGTATTTACTATCATTATTTCGTATTAACACCTACATTTTGTTAAAATGCAGAAGTCAGTCTGTGCAATAAAGTAATTATGACTGTTCGCTTGCGGCTGGACAAATAATTTTACTCGCTTACTATTTCCCTACTGTTACTTACATTTTCCGCTGCGAGTACGTATGAAGTGTCAACCGATATGCGGTGGTAGCATTCGATCGCATGTGCACGATTCGAAACCCCCTCGCGTCGATGTCGATTTGAGATATGAAGCCGGCGTTGGCGGCAGGAGGGGATCGGTAGTGGTATTCCGTCCCCGCAACATCACGCGCTTTGGCAATCCTACACCGCTTTTTAACTATCTGATGACGTAACAGATGGGCCGCGTCGGCGCCGGCGCCGGCGAGTCGAGTCAAGCGTGTGTGTAACGTGCGCGGGTGTGTGTGTGCAGGTGGCGCCGGGTGCGGGTCGCGGCAGACGTACACGTACGAGACGCTGGTGCAGTACGCGGACTCGCCGCTCAGCAAGCTGCCGCCCGCCGGCCTGGCCGCCTTCCCGCCCGAGCTGGCGCGCAAGGTAACCGCCCCGCGCGCGCCGCGCCGCCCGACCCCGCCCCCGCCCCCCTTCCCGCATCTGCCCGCGCCCCGCCTCGTCCGCGTGTGGCCGCCCCTCCACCACCCCAACTACCTCGCGACGCTGCTCTGCCGCAACTTCTACTGAACCCCGCGCGGCTGTAGAGGTTGTCGTTAGCCCGTGGCGCGCGGCAGAGGGCGACGCCGCCCGCCTGCACTGTGCCCAACGTTTCCTTGCAGCCCGCCGCGCCGCAGCACCCCGCCCGCGCCTGACTCCCCGCCCGAAGGATCCTCTCTCGCCCGCCCGCACCTCCGCCGCCCGGGAGAGCCGCCGCTTTAGCTCGATCATTGCGTCGCCGTGGCAACGCCCGCGTCGCGTCGCGCTCGCGACAAGTGTTCCGTCTGTTGCTGGGCAACGCGGACGCGCTTTCGCGTAGACGCGACCGCTCGCGCCGCGGGACGTTTCCACGATGACGAGCACGCATAACCGCTTGCACTCATTCCTTCCATCACGCTGTTTACTAAATCTCGATGTGCTTGCAGTATTATTGATGATCTCATTTTTTTCCTCTTCGGTATGATGATAAGCGGTGACTAACTACATTAACGTAGCTATCTTCAAATTATCGTGGAAATCTCATTATTTTTACGAATATTTAGTTATTAAATATATAAGTGTAAATTGAAATGTATCACAGTATAGATTGACTCGTCTCAAAATCTTGAGCTTCATCTATCTTGAAAGTGATAATAATAATCTCATTGTCGTTTATGACTTGTTATAAGACTGAGTAAATTCGCAAATGATATTTTTGAAAAAATATTTTTCGTGAATTCATAGATAATTTTATATAAGGAGTATATAATGTTGTATTGTCTGTTGAATATTAATGAATCTTTTATGGGACGTTGTTTACACAATAATTTTGAGTGTGTGTTTATGAAATGTTTGTAATGTGATTTAAATTTGTTTTGTTTCTTTCATGCCGCTTCCATAGAATGGGTATTCGAGAGAGGTCCGTTACAGGTAGAAATTAGCATTTGTTTATTTTTTATTGGATTCCAAATTCCAATGTCGAGTCATATCACAAACGTTATATTGATTTTTTATTGAGTAGATATGAAAATTACCAGTGTTATAATTACTATTGTCAATTCATAGTTTTTCAAAAATAAATGTTGAAAATTACCATGTCTTTGCTTGTTCTTCCGCTTACTAACTATCACGATTTCCTACCAATTTCTCATTTTTTTAAAAGTGTTCTAAACCAACGCTTGCGGTGCTGACTTCACGAAACTAACAATACTTGCTGTGGGTAAATATATTTATAATTATTATAATTTTATCTTTATTCACATCTCTCACATCTCCATATCTATAGCTACATTTTTGCACTACTTACCTACTAAATCCTTAAATTTTCATTAAAAACGTTATCACGCTGGCAATTTGCGAGTTTTTGTCTAATATTGATATACATAATCATTATACATATTAGGTATTACTTCCCTAGCATGTACGCAATCACTATTGTTAGAAAACGTAAACTAAAGATACGAGGTTGTCTTTGTCTTCTTTTTATGACTAAGGTGACAGGTATATAATTTTAGTAAAGCTTTCACTTTTGTCAACGTATTGTAATAAGGATATACATTATTAAAAATGATAAATTTTGCTTTCGATACACTATAATAATTAAGTTTTCTTTAACCTTCACAATTTTACAGAAAGGAAAATTTGTCAAAAACTCAATGTAGAGCTTTCTTCGTGTCGTATGAATGTTCTGTAGTAGATAGAACTAGGACATTATATTGGTGCAAGAAGGTAATAAAAACACACAGTGATATTGCATTTGAACAGAGTTGCCTGGAGTTCGACAGCGAAAGCTACCTGAAGAAGGTGCGGGCCGCCGCCGGCACCACCCTGGCCGCGGACGTGCCCGACTCGCCCGAGCCCGAATAACCTGACCGGCTCATAAACACCCAACCACAACCTACTCGCGAAACTGCCGATATAAACCCTGACTGGAAAAATGAAAACTAATAACTCCCTCACGGCCAATTTTAATAATCAAACTCCAATAACAGATAAAGTACCACCAATGAAAGGCGTACTCAGAATAAAGTACACTTTCGATCTAGTTTAAAAAGAGGCGCGATGAAAATACTAATTCAGTCGCGAACTGAAACGACTTTCCGGAATTGCATTCTTTCGTTGCAGTGCGGCACCGTAGGGAGCTTTGCTGCATTGATATTTTTATTATTTAAATTATAACAAACTTGCTAAGATACGGAACTAGATTATCATTATCTTATTCTGGAGGTTGATTAATGAAACTGGCCTATAAACATAAATAATAGACTGAGCACCACACGCATGATATTGACAAATCTCTTATGATTAGTGAAAGCGATGTAACTTATACGAACTATTGACCGTTTTTTCTCACGCTCACCTGCCCAGTTTTACTTAACAGTTTAACATGGTCCACCAAGGGCGGATCCAGCTTTGGCACCAGGGTCGTAAAATAAAAATAAAGTCGTGGTCAAGTCACAGTGGGTACAGATTGTGAAGTAGGTCCATATGGACCCAGCCCAGGGGGTCATGACCCCCATGACCCCTCCCCTGGGTCCGCCCATGTGATCAGCTCAGTCTGTTCTGTGTAAGAAAGCATCATACAACTGTGCGGTCCGTACACGCTAAACTGCATCTGAGCGTGCATCATGAATTACTTAAGATGCGACCTGCTTTACATCAGAAATTACTAAAGCAAAATTATGGACCAACTCCGTGAACCACGTAAGATAGTAACTTCAAACTTCCTTATGCCTTGATGACACGTACCGAATAAATGGGGGATTCAATGATGGAAGTTAAAAACTCATGTAAGAGCACTCGGCGTTATGTTTATACGTAGATACCGAGTACTCGGCCGAGAGCACTATCACACTCGTTACGTATGATCAAGGCATAACATCTAAAAATTAAAAAGTTTGCTGTTGTCTAAAATACACTGTGCTGACAGCCACATCAAGGTACAACAGATTGTCATATATTCTCAAAAGGTTGTGAATTATATTAATAACAAGATAAAGTTGGAGGAAATTACAGTTTTGAACTTGATGTTTGGCTGGATGTAAGTACCTACTGATGATAGTAAGAATATATATGAATCTAATCCGTCCCGGATAGGTAGCTATTGGCTTCGCGAAAAGGATTTGTAAAACTTATTTGTTAGGATATTGTTTGTTGCATATAGCAGCAAAGAAAAAAATCATGGTGTTTCTGATTTTTTAGTCAGGGCAAGCTTGTTGATGATCAATTTGCTCACTCGGGGCTTAAAACAACGCACACGCGCTTAATACATAGTTGAACACTTACTAGGGAATTTTTGACATGTGCACAATGCGATAGATTCAGTGATGGCATATATGTACGTGTGGCTCCTCAGTAATATTTCGATAATCTTTCTGTCGCACCAAAGTTCAATTTGATTCCTCTATCCACTTTTTAATAACCAAATAATATGGATTGGAGGAAGATACGCTCTTTTATATTACGTAATTTTATTAACTATTGTTTGCTTAAGTAGAGTTTGGTTCCTGCGTTTTTGTAACGTCCATATGATGAGTATATAAATCTAAAATATTAACATACAGAAAAAGAAACTTCTAAGTATCACGAAAACATTTAAGGCTCTGGGACAAAGAAAAAATTTATAGAAACATGCTTAGGAGCGCCCGTATATAATATACTAATTCGCACAAGCTTATCACGGACGCCTTTGTTTACCTTTGTCGTGTTTTCGTAAAGGTATACCAGAGATGAGTGCCTCGTACCTTAAAGCCCGTCTCGTTTGAGCCGTCCGCCGTGCACTGCGCACGCACGTATAATTTACACGTAATAAGTCTATTTAAAAGTATTAGCTCACCAAAATATTTATTTTTGTAGTGGTGGTAGCGTTACTCATTTTCTTTTTTTTATTACTTGTTAACCATAATAGATATGTGATACAGAGGACTTATTCCTCGTAACAGCTGATATAAAAAAGTAGCTGTATAAGAAATGAGTCCCTAAAGTAGGTTGATCTCTATTACATAGTCTTCCGACGCCATTTTGTGGCTGCAGCTTAGATTAAAACAAAGGGAAGATACGGTACGCTAATACTAGCATCAAATAAAATACGCTCAGACTCAACTACATAAGCAACTCTCACACACACACACACGTCTGTTAATAAATATTCAATCGAGCGAGCGAGACAGAACTGTACGCTTCAACGCAGCGCGAGCGAAACGGCGAGTCCGCACGGCTGAGCTGTAATGTTGTCCTTTTCTTGATAACATGGCAATTACGTAAATGACATACACAACAAACCGTATTTTTTTTGAAAAAAAAATAATCTTTATAAAAGCTTCGAAGGCATTATTTTATCTTTATAACACAGACTAAACACATACACAAACAACGCATATTGTTATATTGAGTTCACATACAGCGTGTTTGAATGTCCAATTGTGACTAAAGCGAATTGTGGTCATGCACCACAATTTAAGCGGTTCACTTTGAAGCCGCGAGTGCCGTATCTTTCCTTTTAGTTTTAATCTAAGCTTTGAGCTCGTCGATGACGCGCAACTGTTGTCTGATACATTATACTGAAAATGACATAGAAACAATTTATCCTTTGAACCCATTAACAACCGTTGTATATATTTTTGACTCTGTTAACTTCAGATGTCATAGAGTGATTCCATTTATTTTAAGATGAATGCATGCATTTCTTTGTGTGTTTGTATACTCATTTTCAGACTTTGTATCTAGTGTCTAGTCCTGACGAGTAGATGTGACGATTCTCACTACATATTAAGTTTTTTTTACTTGTATGAAAGCCTATCAATCTTTTTATAAATTATTATTAATCTACATTATAAATACTTATTATTTAAATGAATATTATTTTGTTAATGATTCATGAAAGCTTTTATGTAATAATTAGCTGTGCACTAAACCAAATAATCGTTATATATTATAAATTATTTTAATGCTAACACATAAGAGATTTATAGAGTGGACTGATAGGCTTTCTTGTTTACTTATAAATGTTAGATGCATATTCAAAAATGTAACTCTATATCGAATAATCTATCTCGCAGTTATTCTTTGAAATCTAAAAATTCATTTTCACTTTAAGTAGGTATATTTCTTTATTGGCCGAAATCAAATTACTACTTTTTATATAGGCCCCTTCAAAGCTTTTATTTTTCATTAAGTGTGAGATATGAATTTTATTACAATTATTTAAATTGTTTGATTATGGCAGATCGAAACCCCAGTGGTTTCAGTAAACAGTAAATTTTTAGGAATAAATCTACATGGGTGCTTATTACTTTGGAAAAGTATTATCGTTGAATATGTCAAAGATTTATGTTTACAATTTGTTTTTTTTAAGTCGAAAGACAAGGCTATATTGTGAAAAATTTATAAATGTACTAAATTTTCTAATCAATCTGTTTTTATTTGCCTTTCACCATCATTCCTTTCCTTAAGAATCCCGTTACGGAGATGGACTGTTTCCAAAGTATTCCTAGTCTCCAGTAAAAAATAAAAGTTTCACTATAACACGTTTATCGTTGTTACAACTTCCTCTACATTTTAAAATCTAGTAAATAGATAACATTTTTAGAGATTCAGTTATTTTCAGAATGATCTGAAGTCGTACGCACGAGTATTGTTTTATACAAGTTAAAATCCCGATAATCGTAGTGCCTTTCTGACGCAACGCACTCTAATCGCATTTTTTACTTTACGTCCAGAACCCTTCATCCGAAATGGAGCTTTGATTCTACCATTAAAAATAATTTTATTGGCAAAGTACCGAAAGCTCATAAACGTCAAGAAGCAATCATCTTAATTATATCTGTGTTTATATAAAAGCACTAACATTACATAAACCACGTAAGTGATTGTTAGTACCGACCATTAGTTGTAGAGTACAATAAAAACAAAGCAAAATGCTGAAATTTTTGTATATTTACAAATCAACTTTGCCTAAGACCTACAATGTTTCAATAATTAGATTCTATAAAATAATTGGCTACATACATATTGATAACAAATTGAAATTGTACTGATTTCAAGACATGATTATTAGTTTACTGAAAATGGAATGCACATGCATTAATAAATAACAATATTATACATATTCACAAATGCAAATAGTGCGGAAGTACTATAAAGAAAACCAGATTTGCGACCTTTCAGATACTAACCACAGACTATACATCTCGATTAGACTGAATGGAATTCATGGTACATCTCTACTGGTTGAGGAATCTGTGCAAAAACATTTTGAATTGGCACATTTTATAACCTATATAGTGCTAACCATTTGATAATATGCTAGGATAAACCGGCGCCCAGAACCAAAAATTTTTATAAATGTTTTCAATGAGTTTTTTTTTTAATGGAGAATGTAGAAGATTATTTTCTTATTAGTACGAACATAAACTTAAGTCCGCCTGCGACATCATGACATGTAAATTAAGTGTCGGCCTTGTCGAGCTATTTCATCCAACTATTCTAAACAAATTCAAGTGTCGGCCTTGTCGAGCTATTTCATCCAACCATCCTAAACAAATTCTATAAACACTCTGCAAGCTTTTATTCACTGTACAGTAGGAAACTATGCACTGACGGTTGAATACTAAAATATGTGAGAGTTGGAAATATTTATTTATTTTATATTTAGTACCTATGCTTCTAATATATTTTGAGCATACACAGTAAAAACAGATCCAGCAGATTAACATTTGGTTTGATTCTGCGACTATGTGAATGTTTCGATTATTACTAATGAGGGTTTTCTAGAATAACGGGCACTAGGTGGCAGCACTGAGGTGAAAGGTCTACTCAACCGTGAAATCGCATATATCGTCATAGTCCATAAATCATTTAAATGCTAGTTCAATTAATTCATGCTAAAAACTTCATACAAAATACCTTACGTCACAGTGGCGCCAGCTAGTAGGGCCAACATGAATTTTCTAAATAGCCTCATTTAATGAAGTTGAAAATGAAAAAAATCAAACAATATCACACAAGGCTCCACCTTTGATGACTGTATACTTTGCCTTTTGACATAATATTGCAATGCCAAAGCTGTCTTATGTGATATTTCTAGGGTTCGGTACGTAACAGTCAGCGCTGTATTACTAAACCGTAATAGTTAGACATTGAATTTTTTCACAGATAAAAGTATCTTAACGAAAAATAACATAAGTTATGTTATTTTTCGTTAAGATACTACTTATGAGGTCCCTAAGTAAATAAAAACAATCCTTACAATTATTTCGGCAGTTTTTGTTCTACCTTATTGACAATTCCTGTGCTTGACCTTGAAAGATATTACGGAACCCTTCGTGTGCGAGTCAGACTCGCACTTAGCGGTCTTTTTATTGGACTCTTGTCAAAGAAAACCACAATTAAGAATTAATGTCAGTTAATTGATATATAATTAAGATATATTCACCAATTTAACTATTAGTGAGCTAAGTGCATATTTAAAAATCGACCGTGTACGTTATTTGTTTTTCAGGACTTATCGTAGTACGCTGCGTTGTTCAGAAGATGGCACTATTTAAAAGCCACAAAATTTTCTAACGCGCACATTTTATTTGGATACAAGAATATATTAACGCATGAACTGAATACTCGTAAAACTGTAATGAGGCTACTGTAATAAGCAGCAACCCTAATGCATATTAGGAATGTACGTTTGATGTATTCCCGTGCGTCTGCGCAAAGCATTGAAATCGCATTTAATCTTACTCTAAAGTTCGGCTTAAGTTCTATCGGCGAGTTTGTCCGTAATGTTGGCTGCTCGCACCCTAGCATGTTGGAGTATATCTGTGGCTAGATCTTCCTCTGTAGTGTAGCGGCATTTCTGGAAGCTGAATATGTCACAAATGAAGCCGACGACCTCAGCCTGGAAGGATTCGCAGACGTCTCTCAGACGTTCCCTTGGCCCGAGGAAGCCCCATACGAGCACCGGTAATAAATGCTCGGATATTGAGTAGAAGTGCGCCATGAAGCCGTCCGGGTATTGTAGGTAGCGACGCTTAGCCTTTATCACGGACCACACGGCCGTCGTTAGAGCCTGGGGATAGAGATATTATGATGAAATAAATAAATATATATACTGTAAAGAAAGTTTTAGGTATTACAAAATATTTACTCAGCCTAGGTATCAGACAGGAGGAATCGAACCTGCGCCTTCCGCTACCCGGGCGGACGCACTAAGCAACTAAGCTACCGAGACCTTAATGGGCGAATTTATTCTAGTATTTCTTAGGTTTCATCCGAGTAAAATTTTCTTTAGGTTTATAATTATGACAGTATAATTTTAAAAAATTGCAGTATTAGATATACATGATTCCCGGAACTGATTCGACTAAAATTCACTCACATATATATGTTAAATAACTCACACATAATCAATTGGGTTCTGGTGAAGCGGAAAAACGATATTAAAAACACTAGATACAACATCACGAACAAAATCGTGGCCGAAACCTGTCAAAAATGGTACATTGAACGATCCACGGAGCTCCGTGGGATGATCGCGTAACCAAAAACAATAGAGGGCATTATTTAAACGTTTAACTTCACTATTAACGCGCATTTCGAAATGCAAGCTCTTAAGCTTTGTTTGGTTCCAACCACCTACGGTGCTTCAAACCAAACAGTTTTGTTTGGTTTGTAGCAAGTAACACTCTGAATTTATTTATAACTAGCGGCCGCCCGCGACTTCGTACGCGTGGAGTTAGTTAAAAATAAAGGTTCACTGCTCGTTCCCCGTAGGTGATAGCGTGATTGCCGGTAACCAGCAGGGTCCAGGCCCGGGAAGCCCGGGCCCTGCATTGCACCGGTTGCCGCCAGTCGCTGATCCCCTGGATGCCCCGGGGGATCACCGCCCCCCCCATTTTGGGGGAGTGAGTGGGGCTCGCCATAGGCGAGCAGACGCCGACGAGGTCGTGGATGTGTTCTCGCGAGTTCCCATGACCTTGTCCGGCAGCGACGCGTCCCTCCCCGACGTGTCCTCTTCGTCAGAAGACGATGAGGATGCGGCGGTGATGGACGTGCTCGCGCCAAGGCGTATGTGAGGGGCAACGGTGGGTTTTAGTCGGTAGGCCGCGGTACTGCACCTTCTGGGGGGTCATAACCCCACGTACCCCAAAGCGCGGGGTATGCGTAATGCATTTCCCACCGGTAAAAAAAAATAGTGATAGCGTGATAATATGTAGCCTATACAGGGTGTAAAAAATTCTTTAACGAAGTCGAAGGCCACGTATTTTCCACATCATGACGATCTTTTTTTTCTTCTGGACCATACCTGGGAAATTTATGGTTATGGAGATATTGAAGGTCAGAGTCACAATTTTTTTTTCAATATTTTTACATTAATATATTCAAAACGTTATTTGAGTACGGCCGGTTATGAGTTGTACTAACTCGTCCCGAAGCTCACGAGCGTCGGCAAGTGTGTCAGCACCTCCATTAAAGTCAGCCACGTATGCATTGTTAAGTAGCAACTTAGCTGCTCTGGGAAAGCGTTCCATTTAAGAAACTTTTTTATCGACGCACTTACATACACGCACACACATACACACAAGCACATTCTTTGCGTAGCGCCACAGTAGCGCGCCGCGCTATACATTGCGTGCTGACTTTTTTTTGTATTTTTTTTAACTTAAAAATACAAATGATTCCCACGTATAATATTTTGTAATATTACTTGTTTGGGCGTATTGAATGTCTTTGTCATAGAATGTTTTACACCCTGTATGTTGACCCGACTTCTTAATAATATTCGTGCCAAATTTGAAGTAAATCCATGCAGTACTTTTTGAGTTTATCCCGGACACACATACAGACAAAAAAATTTAAACTATATTTTTGGTATCGATTGTAGTTAACATCCCACGTATTCTTTTAAAAAAATAACCAATGTACAGTTTTGACTTTCCTACCATTTTATTATATGTACGAGTATGTATAGATTAACAAAGAACCAGGATATGTCTGTCGGGTACTGGCACTGACTGTTCATCACAGTACCGGAAAATACCGGTGTACCGGTTACGACCGGTTTTTCGTTTTTTTTACCTGTCGAAAAAAGGACACTACGTACTATAAGTATTTTTTCAGCATTTTTTCATGGAGCTCTGCTGCGTGACTGTGAACCAAGAAATGCTTGAGTGGCGTTCAAGCACTTCTTGATTGGGAAACATTTTGAGCGCTCATAGTGCATCTAGGGTTTTTAATATCGTTGACACGGAAGCAAGTGGAATGTTCGTCTATTACGCTAGTATATTATAGTCAATTCACTTTGGCGTGAGAAAAAATGTTAACAAAGAATCTGAGGTTCTAAAACTTTTATAATGTTAGAAAGTACCCACTAGTCAATGATTACGTATAATTTATGTTACCTTTAAATTTTTAACAACTTAAAACTTAACAGAAAAAAATAACAACAAACTCAACAAATAAAACAAGCAAATAACAAGAATTTAACAAATATGTAAAACACAACACTTCAACTTAAAATACTTATATCATGTCTCGTATTATAATACGTCTTAAGTTTGGGAATGACTGTGTTTTTTCCATGTCAACTTAAGTTGTTAAAATACTTTTATCAGCAAAATATAAATATACAAGTTTATGATGAGTATGTACGTTAAATATGTGTGAAGTATTTTATTTTCTTATTCATATGTATGTACCAGCTTTTAAAATAATTAAATAAATGTTTCGCTGCATTTCCTATGTAAATAGTATTTAATCTTCACTTTTGTCAAACGTATACTTTGTATGGTTTGTTGACATTTTGTCTCACGCTAATGTGAATAGATATATTTATGATACGAACGCTCTCCTTAAAGCCATCGGACAGCCAGCGGTTGCGCACAACGGCAAGCACGGAGGAGGGTGGGGTCGCGAGGTCCTCAAACGCGTCTAGCAGGATGTAGTCCAGCACCACGTCGTAGAACGATAGCACCTGATACACCAGATAAACGGATAACCATATCTTCGAACTTAGGTCACCCGAGGCTTTGTAGCCATGGGGAAAATGTAGCTGTTTCAAATAACTCGTTACTGTTTCATGTTATTGGCGAAATTTATCTATATGTTGGTCAATAAAAGTTACTCTACAGGAATACAGATGTAACTTATTTTTAAAACGTAATGAATTATTTGAGACAGCTACATTTGTACCCTGGTTACAATATCCCCAGGTGACCTTCATTCATAACGGAACTTGAAGATAAATAATAATAATTATAAATATAAATATTTCCAACACACACCAATTATTAGCCTAGCCCCAATGTAAGCACTGTAGGCTTGTGTTATGGGATACTAGGGTATTATCGCTTTTATAATTCTTGTGTTTTCATGCTTGCCATAAATTAATAAATAAAATACTTTTCAAGGGCATTTTTATTGCATTTCTTAAATATGATTTTTTCCTGGACATTTCGAACCCGTTAAAAATTCCATTGTGGCAAGTTAAATTGCTTATAACATTTTGACTAACCATCTTCTAAAATACTTATTGGACTCGACCAAAAATGTGTTTAAAAAGGAACTACATAATAAATAAATAGTTATCTGAAGGCAACCAAAAAAGCACTTATTTAACGATCGTGAGAATATTGCGTATTGCCTGCTGAGCACATCTCCTGGCAGTACAGCGTTAGCAACCGTATTCTCTGCAGGAACATAATAGTAGGGGAGACCAAGCGGGGATTTTTGGATTTACTCGAGCGCGGTAGAATAACACCTAGGCAACCTTGCACCTTGTAAAGTATACCCACCATACAAAGTTGGTTGTAGTTTGTAAGTAACTAAAAAACTGTTAACTGTTTAGCGCATGATGAGGCCATCTTTAATTACAGTTATATTATATCCTAACACTTAAGCATATGTGTAAGTAAGTTTGTATTAATATAGCTGTGTTGATGGTCCATAAATAAATAAATACCAGAGCCCTCTATGTAGGGCCAAACGTGTAGGGCAGCAAAAAATTTGAACAAACGCCTATGACTTTTGTACGCGTCCAAATCATCAGTCTTTTGAATAGAAGGTACTGGAGGATGTTACGTGAACCTTCCAGTAGCTCCTATTCAAAAGATGTTATTCTGCCACGCTCGAGTAAATCCAGAAATCCCCGCTTGGGTTCCCCTACTATAACACTACAGGGTTGTTTTATTTAACTAGTTTTTTAAATGAGAAACAGTTTCCCGAACTGCAACAAACACAAATAAATTGATAATCTTTAAAATGGTTATAATTACGTACCTTGACGCCCTTGCTGAAAAGTTCCTTTTGTATCGTGGGCCAGTTAGCTCCATCCGATGTCCATGACACCATTTCCTCGTAGGCGACTAAAAATTCCTTAGGTTCCTGAAGTAAAACACAAATCCTTAGAAATATATTTTAGGATATAGCCTGCGCAGACGAGGGACTTTTGTCCACTGAGGACAAAATTGTACTTGAATCGTGAAAAAAATGTCCGCCGGGAACTTGTCACGGACTCAACGACACGATATGCGAACATTTGTTCCCTGAAAATTTATAAAAGCACATGCTATGGAAGTTCATATTCTCAGATTACGTTGTGTTGTAATTAACATGAAGTTTAAGAAAAAGAGAAGACGTTTTAAGAGAGATTACTGGGTCCATCTTCGTGTGCGTTTTTCAATGCAATTGTAAGTGATATATTTTAGCGGACAAGTAAGTGCGCGGACAGAAGTCCCTCGTCTGTGCAGGCTAGTATCCGTTGTCTTACGTGCAGTGCTGTCTTTGACCTATTGGAGGCCCTGGGCATAATACGATAATGGAGCCCCGTTTGGTGATCTAACTGGAACTAGGGACTTTGTATTTGATCTAAGGTTGGCCCCTATCGATCGCGGGGCCCTGGGCAGTTGCCCAAAGTGCCCACTGGGAAAGAGGGGTCTGCTTATGTGTTTTGTATTAAAAGATGTTGGCAAAGCCATTATCTCCAGCTCCACCGTCTCCCACTTCGGAAGCCAAGTTAAGCCGTAAGTCCCGGCTGGCTGCATCTGTAGTCGTTAGCACCCACCAAAACGATCGGTTCGTGTGGTTGGTCGTTACGGGTGTTGCTAGGCAATTTGCGCGGGACGTCCCGATTAATCAAAAAATGAAATTTAGGTCATTAATATAATACTATACGTGCACTAGCAGTTTAAAACACAATAAATTAAACCAAGACTTAAAAACCCCTGGCAACACTAGTCGTGACCCAATCCCCCTACCCCATAAATAGGGAAGGCAGTTCAGTTTTCACTGTCATTCCGATTGTTGCAAAACTACGCCATCGTCGATTCGCAAATTTACGGCGGCAAGAAACTCAGAAAGGGCTGTTTTCTAAGTCTCTACGGAAAGTTGAAAATGACTTTTTTTTATTGCCTTCGAGGCAGACGAGCAGATAGGCCGTATGTTAAGTGGTCACCGTCACCAATGGACATCAGCCACGTAGTGACACAGTTATGCCATTTCCTTTCGCGAAACACTTTCGAAAAGGATCGTGCTATAGTACTGGAACATCGTGGAGGGGAGCTCATTCCTTCACTTTATTGCTTGTGGAAGAAAAGACCTCTGGAAACGAACAGTTCTAGACTTCAGTGTTTCCAGGTAATATGGTGAACATATGAGTTAAGTAGGAACAATGATGGTGATGACGTGATAATGTGAGGGCAGTGCGTGTAGAGATAGTCTAATCTAAAACTGAACACCCCTCCATTGTCTTACTCACTTACTCTTGCATGCATAATCAGTGTACAGATGCATGACACTCAAATTAGCTATAGTCATTGGTCATTCAGTTGATTCAGTCGCCGGCTAGACACGAACGTGGCAGCACACGATGTGACGTCATCATGTGAGAGTACTCACCTTGTCGGCGTACAGCAGCAGGTCGGTGAGCACCTGCCGGCCGGCGTCCACGAACCAGGCCCACTGCGCGGCGTTGCGGAACACCGAGTGGAGCGCGCGCCAGTTATGATGTGACGTCATCATGTGAGTGTAGTTACCTTGTCAGCGTACAGCAGCAGGTCGGTGAGTACCTGCCGGCCGGCGTCCACGAACCAGGCCCACTGCGCGGCGTTGCGGAACACCGAGTAGAGCGCGCGCCAGTTATGATGTGACGTCATCATGTGAGTGTAGTTACCTTGTCAGCGTACAGCAGCAGGTCGGTGAGTACCTGCCGGCCGGCGTCCACGAACCAGGCCCACTGCGCGGCGTTGCGGAACACCGAGTAGAGCGCGCGCCAGTTATGATGTGACGTCATCATGTGAGTGTAGTTACCTTGTCGGCGTACAGCAGCAGGTCGGTGAGCACCTGCCGGCCGGCGTCCACGAACCAGGTCCACTGCGTGCTGACCCTGAGCACCGAATGGAGCGCGCGCCTGTGACGTCATCATGTGAGGGTATTCACCTTGTCGGCGTACAGCAGCAGGTCGGTGAGCACCTGCCGGCCGGCGTCAATGAACCAGGCCCACTGCGCGGCGTCGCGGAACACCGAGTGAAGCGCGCGCCAATGAAGATGTGACGTCATCATGTGAGGGTACTCACCTTGTCAGCGTACAGCAGCAGGTCGGTGAGCACCTGCCGGTTGGCGTCCACTAACCAGGCCCACTGCGCAGCGTCGCGGATCAACGAGCGAAGCGCGCGCCAATGAAGATGTAACGTCATCATTTGAGGGTACTCACCTTGTCGGCGTACAGCAGCAGGTCGGTGAGTACCTGCCGGCCGGCGTCCACGAACCAGGCCCACTGCGCGGCGTCGCGGAACACCGTGTGGAAGGCGCCGCGTAAACAGTGCAGTTTGCACAGGAATTCTGAGTCCGAGCCGCATTGTAACACGTCTGTGCGCAGAGTCCTATATCGCATACACAAAGAGCTTAATGCAGATACTTCTGAGTTTAAATTAATTTTATGTGAGACCTGTAAGATCTATGTAATCTAGGCTTTTAGTGGGTAACCCGCGAGCCCCGAGTAGCCGTTGAGTCAGTCCCAAAGGGCTTGCTGATCGAGTGGGCGGGATTTGTGGGAGGAAGTCCCACATAACCCCGTCTCTCACTCAGGAGCGAGGTGTGCGTCACGCATTTTCTCAACACCTAAAAGGGTGAGGATGGCTGGAGTAGTATATTTTTCTGCAATATCATCTTCATGAATAGGGAAGATGCATATATAATATTTATGAAAATTTTATGATTAAAATGTTAAAAAAATATAAAAGAAATGCCACTGCAACGTTTTTATTTTACATAATGTTGTTTTTTAATAATTATTACGAATTAAAAATACTTGAAACGGAACGTATTTTAAAACACCAATCAGCGTTTAGTGACGTCACTCCTGTTATGACAACTTCTTTGAGGTTATGGTTGCTATAGTAAATATTATTTTATGGGAACATTTATTGCGTTTTTTTACATTTAATAAAAATGGAAGTTGCGTTTATCAAAGCAGACTCCAGGAATTTACCAAGAGTTAACGTTGACATGGTTATAACTTTTTTTGTCCAAAGTGCAGAGTTTTTAAGTGTAGAAATGAAAGGGACTAAATTACTACGGTATGTAAAAATCGTAGTTGTTAAACTTCGTATTTTGTTCAGCGGCTTCTACAAATCTTACGGCGATAATGCAATCGGCTATGTCCAAATTAAAAGAGATGGAAAATTATGTACAGTAAAAGGTAGAGTTCTCCGGAGCATAAAGTACGTAAAGAAGGTTATCGTGTTACAGTTATTTTAAATGAAACGCAAAGCTTGGTTCAGTCCTGCCAATGTGAAGATTGTGCCACACATTTTAAACTTTATCTAATTTTCGAAGTCATTCTCTAACTGTAAAATTAAAAAAAAGTTATAGACAGGTTTAGTAAGTATAAGGTAGGTTACTAATGCGTTTTTACGTACAAGCAGATTAATTAAGCATATAACAAGTATATTCGCTGACTTACGTGAAAGTGATCTTCTCAGCATCGAAACTTCTCTTCTCTCTCTTCGCAGCTTGAAACCACTTTTTTTCAGTTCTTGTTCCAGTCAAAAACAATTTATTTGGGAACTTTGTTGAAGTAGATTGGCACAAAACATGAGTCAACACGGCTTTTTTTCGGAATATTAGTGGTATTGTTATGATCACATGATGTTGATGGATAATCCATTTTAAATTTTTCAAAAAAATATTTCGAAAGTCGAAAAATTTGCAAAAGTATGAAAGGACAATGTTAAAATTGGCCTATGAACCAACACCAATTTGGCATTTATGATAATTCTTAGTATATTTTTTGCGATAATTATCAGTATTTAGATTGTGACGGACACTTCTAGTTAAGTTAGCTAAATTAAAAAGTTAAAAAATAATCTGAGACAATAAATACCATTTTATGTGTATAATCTATGGCAGCGCTGCAAACAAAACACTCTTTCTTCCTAATGCCGGCACATCACTTGGCCATTCGTATTTGCTATTTTAAAACGTGACATCAGTCTGTCCTTTTCATTCCTTCATTCCATGACAAGGACAAACTTTTGTCAAGTGAAGGGCCGGCATTAAACTCGTTACTCTGTGGTTGTGGTGCATGCAGTTTGCATTTGTAGTAATTTGTGGCATTCGTGGATTCCAAAAAGTAGTATATTATACCGGAATACCGGAAAGTGAATTTTCGTTTCGGATTACCTGTTGTGTGTGTTTATTTGCGATTGTTTTTCCTTTAATTAACTATTTCGGCTATTTAATATGCCATCGATGTTACCAAAGAGCAGAGCCCTTATTACCAAGTGCTAGTGAACCTGTGCCACAACATCCTGAGAGGATCATACTGCCAAATTATTCAAGAACACCTGATACACATCCACGCTGCATATTTACACAATATACATGTGATATACAAATAAATACAATAAACAATATGATACAATTATGTGAAAAATAGTCAATAAATAAGAAGCAAAACTACAGTTTTTATTTTATTCATGATTCCTACCTAACCAAGCTTTTCCTAATAGTCATTCTTTAAAATCGCACCGAATAAAATGAATTAGTTGTAATATCAATTCACTTTAAACTGAGTTCATACTAAATTCATAGGTTGACCTATGTTTCATTGAATATTAAAGATAACCTCAAAAAAAAATAGTTTTCCCAGTAATTTAAGTTCTCAGAAGTGTCCGTCAATAATCTTTGTTTTTACAGTCATTTACTTACGATTTTGAACCTAGAAAATAATATTTCATGATTGTTGGTTCTTAGGCTAACTATGTATGGACGCTGAACAATGTCCTTTAAAGCCAGCAACGAACAATTACGACCAGTGACAGGAGTGACGTCATCGCAACCATAGGTTCGTTTTCGCGCGAAAATTTAAATTGTCAATTTAAAACCGCATTTTCTCCGATAAATCACAATGTTTTAATTTTTTAATATATCTGTGGTTTATTCTACATGGAATTCTTTAAAATGAAAACAAAAATAAAAATATTGCATCTTCCCTATTTAGAGTTGGATTATTTGTTTCGTAAATATTTATGCATTCATGTAACTTACCTGTAAGGAATACCGGATTCCAATTGCTTTAGGGCGTTTTGATATAACTCAAAACTATCCAATTCCGGCAACAGTTCTGAAAGGTCGTCGAATTCTCGGAGATCTGCAACCTACAATAAAGGAATAATGTGAGTAACAAAACATAAGTTGTGATTAACATTATAGAGTATTCCCATCCTCTAGTTGCTGATTCCAACAAGGTCTATCTTATGTAATAAATTGCAGAAAATGGGTATTGAAAGAATGGTTTTACAAACTTTGTAGCAAATTGTAAAATCATTTGAAACAATTGAAAATTTATTTTGACACAAACACGAGACGATATTACAAGATTTTGAGCAGGTTACGAGAAAAAATAAACACAACATCGGAAACAATAGGGAGAAAACACAAAGCAAAAAAAAGTAACACAATTTTACCATAGGTTCCGTACGTAATCTTCGGTGAATTACTCTGTTGCTATCTCGCGGCAGCGCCAAAACAGGTTGCCAAATCAGCATTTTGTCAGGTTTGTGGGACCTGGTTAGGGATCATTAGAGAATTTCAAACCCAAGTGCGTTGCAAGTAAACATGGCGTGTTTTGTGTCTACTGTGCCGTGAGATCTGTTAAATTTGTCATAAAATGCGGTACTTTACAAGTCTGGTAAGTGACTAGCATTTAGCATAACAAAAGCAGTATCTTTACACTTCAACTTCACTTAACACCAAGCAAGCGCTGATCCAATCTTCAGAAAACTTCTGTTTATAGGTTTTTGGCGGTTGAAGCAGTTCTATTCGTGTAGCATTTGGGTTGAACAACCTGTCCAACCTAATCGACATAAGCAAAGGACTCTGCGCATAAACATTAACTACAAGTCACTCAGAGACTTGACCGTACACTAGCTAAGTTACACCTGATCCTCTGCAGAAGCGAAGGACTCAGCGCTGGAGTGGTGGTCACGCCGGGTATGAGACGAGTTCTCCCGCCCAGTAGGAAACATAAAACATAAGACTTGTTCTTACGCATAGTTTTATTATACCTGGTCCTCTGCGGAGGTGAAGGACTGTTTAGAGTGGTGGTGGCTGCGCGTGTGTGTTGACGGCAACTACGAGCGCTCGCATTTCCCACGTGAACATCGCGGGCATAGATAGGTGGAGACATTTAGCTACTTAGCCACACGTGTAGCCAGTTTTACCTGGTCCTCAGCCGGGGCGAAAATCTCAGCGCTGGAGTTGTGATCACGTTGGGTATGAGACGAACCCGTGTAGGTGGGCTGGAGCTGCGAGCGTACCCTCGTCCCACGCAGTTCAACACATAAACTACAAGTAACCCAAGGGACTAGACCATAGGCTAGATACGTTATACCTGATCTTATGCGGAGGCAAAGGACTCTGCGCTGTAGTGGTGGACGCGGTGCGTGTGTGTGGACAGCACAGACAGCCCGGTGAACTCGGATCGCGGGTATAGGTAGGTGGAGACATTTAGCTACTTAGCAAAATGTTTAGCCAGTTTTACCTGGTCCTCAGCCGAGGCAAAGGATTCTGCACTCGAGTGATGGTCGCGACGCGTGTGTGACGATCCCGTGTGCGTGGACAGCAACAGCGAGCGCGCGCATTTCCCCCACCCGGTGAACACCGACCGCGGGTCTAGGTAGGTAGAGACATTTAGCTACTTAGCAAAATGTTTCGCCAGTTTTACCTGGTCCTCGGCAGAGGCGAAGGATTCTGCACTCGAGTGATGGTCACGGAGCGTATGTGACGATCCCGTGTGCGTGGACAGCAACAGCGAGCGCGCGCATTTCCTTCGCCCGGTGAACACCGACCGCGGGTCTAAGTAGGTGGAGACATTTAGCTACTTAGCAAAATGTTTCGCCAGTTTTACCTACCTGGTCCTCAGCCGAGGCGAAGGATTCTGCACTCGAGTGATGGTCACGGCGCGTGTGAGACGATCCCGTGTGCGTGGACAGCAGCCGCGAGCGCGCGCCCTCCCCCCGCCCGGAGCCGGCACCCCCCACCCCCGCCCCCGCCCCGCCACCCCCGCTCTCCGATCGGAACAACACCGACCGCTGGTCCAGGAACAGTAGCTCGCACCGCTCCTGATGATATCACATAAGCTTCACATTATCTAACCACGCTACAACATTCCACATTTCAATTCGCTAGCGACAAACGAGACACATCCTAACTAACGGTAGGCTTGTTGAAAATATATCGATGTATCGATATTTTTTGTTCGATATATCGATATTTTTTGCCGATATATTTTGATTCGATATATCGATACATCGATACAAAATAACCAATATCGAAATTCGTATCAAAAACGATATTTTTTTAATTATTAGCGGCATATCACGATCTAACTAAATTCGTATCTGGAAAAATCGTAACTGGATCTCAGATTAATTATGTTTAACATATCTATGATCTGTGCTTTATTTAGTATTGTCTATGTCATCATTCGAAAATAGAGTCTATTTTTAGGGAGATAATTTTCGTTCCATTATTATACCGCGTGTCATATTTCGTGAGCTACTGTACGATATTTTTGGGAAAATCGGTCCGATATATCGATGTTTTTTTCGCGATATATCGAAGCCGATACTGATATTTTTTAAAAGATCGATATATCGACATTTTTTTCAACTTTCGACATCCCTAACTAACGGTGTAGTATATCTGTCTCTTCGCACGCCTTCGCTATCGAATATGCGAAAGATGAAACACAAGGTAACTGACTTCAAAGGCTAAATTAACGTTAAAAAACAATCGTTGCACGATTAGGTAAGTATATAAAGGGGTTTCAGCAATGTAGAAAAAGGGTCCGTATTTTGTAATTTAATGGAATTCGTCTTATCACCACCGGGAACTCCCTTTTTCTAGAAACAACATCAAGTAAGAACAATACGCATCATCAGTTTGCCTGTGTGCCCCCTTACATTTTAATATAAGTTAGTGTGACTTCCTCTTCCATACTTCTCGATATCCATCCAGCCATCATCTCAAAATTAACCCATTAATTTATTATATAAGTAGATATTTATCTACCTGTAAATGGTAGGCGTTTTGCAGCAACTCCTGTATCTCTCTACAGAACTCTGCTTCCTCAGGTGAGGTGAGCGCGAACGCCCCCGACACTCCGCCGCGCGCGCCCAAGGAGAAGGCCGCCAACGCGTCCTCCCAGTAGTTGATGCTGGTCTCCAACGCCTCCATTCCTTTTAACAAATAGGACATAAATAAGTTACGTAGAAAAAACACATCGAATATTTGAATTGCTCGAAATCGATCTCAATACGCGTCAAACGTCAAGAAGTTTAGTATGGAAGATTACGTCAGTTGCGGCGCTGCGCTGTTCAAATTTCCATACAAAACTACTTGAAAATTTGACATGTATGGAGATTCGAGATCGAATTCAACTATTCGAATTCGATATTGGTTCGTGCTACGGGTATTGGTCATTCTTTATACTTTGACCATAGACATACAAGAGAATGGACTGACCAATAACTGCATGAAGTTGATTCTAGTTGATCATTGTCTCTAAAATAAGAGAATGCGATTTCCTGCCACTACCACCAACGAGCAGAAAAGTGTGAGATTGGAAGATTCCTCTCTGCTCTCGGGCTCAAGAGCAAACCCATAAATCAATAAAAAAAAATACCAGCAGCACTACTACGTAGGATCGCCACGTCAATTATGGACTATGACAATATGTTAATAACTTCGCACTTGTACCGTGGCGTGGGTACAAAATAAGTTAGGACTTAGCATTCCAGAGGGCTTGAAGACATGGGAGGAGATTAGTAAAACTAAATGATATCCAAGCATGAATTTGATATAATGAAGTGGTTCATGTTACTTTTCATTAGTTTGTAGTAATAAAAACATACCATTTGTGATCATAAAAATTTATTCATTATTATATTTATTGCAATTTTTTTTTATATATTTATGTTTTATATGTTATTATGGCACTTACTTATAGGTCAATATAAATAAATAAACAAGGTAAAATATGTACAATGAGTAAAAAAAATATTATTGCAAAACAATAAGTGTAGGTAACTAAAAATACTATTAAAAATATAATTTTTTAAGATCGGTGGTTGTCGATGTACATTAAAATATATTGCTTGTTTTAATAGCCAGTGTTGACGACAGCCGTGCACTGACCCGAGAGAAAAACGTGCCGACCAATCACAAGGCCTACTTTACGGGCGTCAGAGGGGTGCGGGGCATTATTCGACGGGGTGATAGTCGCGTGATAAACCGCCAATCAAAACGCGTACCTTTTAAGGGACGCGCGGGGAGGACGCCTTAAAGTGAGCGCTGTGGTTGATCGACGATCCCCGACAACCGGAGCCAAATTAGTATATAAGACGAAACATTTGTAAGGCAAATTGTAGTTTGCCCATAATAGAATAAACAAAGTATTAAAGCAACAACCAGCATTTTGAATCCGACAACCTACATACAGTCCACACCAGGGATCCGAGGACTGAAGATCTTCATCAACGACATCTTGGTCATTCGATCCAGATCCATTTTCGTAAAGCAACAGCCAGCTAGTTAGGCTAAACACATTGCACACAAGTTCTCTGATAGACACTCATTAAGGTTGATACTAATAATGTGATCAAAGAAAAACATCCTTCAAATGTGGCCCATTGGCTTGCAAGGGATGTAATTGTTGGATATTATGGACTGCTTCCTGCACACCACTGTTGAGGTCCTGCACTGTGCCCGCTAGAGCTACGATGGCATCCGCTACTCTCTCCTCCAACATACTCCGTCGCTCTTCTTGTGTCCTCATGATGGTCGCCATAGATTCTAAAGCGTCAGCGATGCGTTCTTCTGCTGCAATCCGTCGTTCCTCAAGCTCTAACGCCCATTTCGGCGGAGGAGACATAGCACGAGTGTCGCCATCTAGGGAAAAATAAACTTATAAATAAATTACTGTAAGATTCCTTCTTTAGTATCTGAGTAGAATAATTCTAGATCAGTACATATGAGCATCTTGCGCTTTCAGAAAAGTATTTCATGTCACTAATACATATGAAGAAAGAACTAAATCTTTTTTTCTCTGAATATAATGTATCGGTAATAACATTATTTTCTACCTGTTAGTATATCTGTTCAATAGATTCTCACCTATATAATAGCAAATTTACCTTTTGATGCACCAGAATGTGCTGAAGACTTTTTAATTTTTGCTTTTAGTTTGGTTGATCTTAATTTAACACTTTCAAGAGGCTCCGAGTCTGAGTCTTCGGCAAGAAAGTTTTCCAGTTGTTTAGATGTAGATGCCACAGGGGTTACTGAACCCTTTCCACTTAATTCCAGTACTCTGACTTCTAAATCATTGAGTGGTATAAATCTGTTTGTGTTCCCATCAGTAGCAGACTGGAATCTTCTGCCATCTGATGCTTTTCTTCTACACTTATGACGCCATTCAAACCAATACTGAAAATAGACATTGAAAAACTTTATGTTAGCTAATATCTAAATATCTGAGTTCTCACACTAGTAGTAAATAAAGTATAATGGTCCTTATTTTATCTAATTCTTGTTGAGCCTTCAGCTTCTAGGAAAGGTGATGCTAGCCTCACACTCACATTCAAACATTCAAGAGTTGTATAAAATAAATCCATTTGGCTCTGCAAGCTATCGGTAAAATTTCCCATTGAATAGGGAGTCAGCACCCCTCAGCAAATCGTAAATGGTCCGGTCCAGATTTAGGGGCCCCCACACCTAAATCCAACCCTGGCAAAATCACTCATCATAGCCAACTTTGCAAGAGAATCAATTGCCTTGATACAAGATAATGCCAATATTATTTTATGGTCCAAAGTGAAATAAGATTTATAAATAATAATTCTGTTGCAACAATTCAAAATAATCAAAAAAAGCAATTAACCTTTTTCCAGCCTTCTGGTGTTTTCAAAGCTCCTGACTGAACAGCATTTAGCTGCTTTGCTAGCACAGCCCATTTTTGCCTTGTAGCATGATGTGGAACTGGGGTGCCAGGAGGTAGGCCTTTAGACATATCCTTGTTTTCTTCCAAAAAGTCCATTAATATCTCCAGTTGTTGTCTTAATATTCTACGAGGAGGAGCCATCTGTAAAAAAAAAAAAATGTATTTGTTTAATGCCTAAAGTTTTATGCAGGTTCATTGTTTATAATAAACATTTTTATATTATTTCGGATTTTTATGCAACCAGAATAATAATTTAAAGAGTATTAGATACACTTACCTTTTTTTGTTAATAAACAAGAGCCCAAGTTCAGGACTAGTAAACTTTGGAAAGTTAATTAATCGCGCGCGCTGTTTTATTTGACGCAAGGAATCTCTATTACTATCATGAAAATACGAAGGCAAGCGAAGCGAATGACAGATAAAAGAATGATAAATGTAATGGCGACTTCGATTTCTTGTCGTTTTGTTTTAACTGTGTTCCTGGTTCCTTCCACCGCTTGTTTGGCAGGCACTTCACTTTGCTATTTGTAAACTTGACATCAGTCTGTCTGTTTCATTCCTTACAATATATGACAAGGACAGAATGTTGTCAAGTTTACAAATAGCAAATACGAATAGCCATGTGAAGTGTGGCCATGAGAATTTTTACGTCTATCGTCTATGTTCACATGCCCAAGCATAAGTTTTGAGAGCTCCGTAAGGTAGATAAAGTATCTATGGTAAAGTATCATTCGTCAAATTCTGTATGGAAAAGGCTAGTTTGCTCTTCCGTCCGATAGTGGCGCTGCCTAGTTTTCAAAACTGACGGTGCGATACGATAAGTAGCTGTCCCACAACCTGTGTTTTTTTTTTCTAGTCTCGGGCGAGGCCGCGCCGCGGAGCTTCGCCAAATTTAAGAGAACATTGAGAACTCTAACGTTCGAGATTTATACATGATTCGAGGTAAATAGAAATCTCATACACTTTGATATGAGATTTGAACAATGTTGACAGTTTGTATCATGTACACAAACCAAAAACATTCCCAGAAAGTAAATAAATCACAATCACACACAAAGGATCAACTCAGTAAGTATAGCTTCATTATGCCTTCACAAAGTGTACAAGATTTCTACTTACCTCGTATCATGTCTAGAGACTGCTTTTCGAACGTTTGAGTTCTCATGACTCATACGTTTGGCAACCCTGCGCGGGGCGGCCTCGCAGCGCAGGACAGCGCCTTTACGCAGCTGTCAAAAACTCGTGCTTTGGCCTTTCGTTGAATTGGAACATGCCTGTCTGACTGAACAAGTAATGTCTGTGATCGATCAGTAGTATTTATTATAGTCAATTTCAAAATTGCAGGCATAATTTGAAATCTCTGCAATATTATATTCTTCTGAATACATAAATTCCTTCGTTTCATATTAAATATTTTCGACTATTCATGTTAAAAGGATTTATTTATTCAGTAAAAAACTTTCCTGCATTACCTATATCCTATTATATCACGCGAAAGACTTTTGAATCCACTAGATGACACTAAATTAACAAACTACCAGGTAATAAGGCTTCTTTCAAGAACGAGCCATGTTTTAGTAGTACCAAAAAGTTTATAAAAAATAAATCATATTACTATAGTAACTCTGTTAATATAAGAAAAATATTATTTATAATATCAAATCACTTACCGCTGCGTAATTTGCTGCTATCACTTTACTTCTATTTAGTAGAGCCATCTAGTGTGCAGTAGCAATATTATTTTGAAATATACTAAAGAATAATTTTAATACGCTTATAACAGATGGCAATATCATTCCATAATGATGATAATAAAATTATCACGACATGACATGAATTACAAATGGAATACGAACGGACAGTAATAATTCATTGTAAAATATTTTATTATTCACAATTAGTTTTTAGGGTTCCATGCACAAAGGGTGACAAACAGCATCCTATAAAATAAGGCTCCACTATGCCCGCTGTCTGTTTGCTTATTTCAGGCACAGGTACCCGTGTACAGGGCTAAACCTAGTATCTCATGAACGAGAAAATAAAATGATCAACAAATTAGAAAATAGATCTGAATTTTCACATTGAAGAATGCGTGCTTCTATGGCTAGTAGCTATCACAACAAAATAAATATTATAAATAAAATAAAGGATGAAACGGATCTTTTCGCCTTCTTTTGTTCAACCTAGTTTGAAAAAATGTAATACGGAGGTCATCGTTCTCGATTACGATTCGCGCTT